ACCCAAGAAGCACATAAGCATAAGCATTATATGGGGATATCCCTACCTTGTTGGGCTTCATTATAATGGGGTCTATATGGGATATCCCTATCCTAATTTTTGCTTATGTGTTTTTTGGTGCCATAGCTTAGGGAGTCTCCATCTTCGGATGCAGGGGTCCGTCCGGTGGGCTTCCTCGAGGGTCTTGAACTCGGACCTAGAGTAGGCCCTTATTCCCTTTTTTTAGGGTTCAGGTTCCCTTAAGCCCCTTTAAACCAAAAAGGGCACCCTTTTTGTTCCTAGGCTACTCTTGGGTCTAGTGAAGGATTCGGATAGATTTGGGGGTCTCCGAAAACAGGGGACCCTAGTGTAGTACCTTAAGTAGTAGGAGCCTTGCTAGAAGGACTCCAAAAGAAGGTACCTTAATTTTGGAAACTCCTATTTAGGAGTTTGAAGTTTAGGGCTCAGGTTTTAGGGTCTAGGAGAGGTGTCGGGTGTAGGAGAGGTTCAGGAGTCTCTAGGAGAGAGACTTGCTTGAGCCCTTCATTAGCTATACTTACTAGATCTTGCTACTACTTGTGGCATCGGCAAGTTTTTAGGAGAAAGGCTTGAGGTCCAGGGAATAGCTTTGAGAATTCCATGGTTGATGGAACCACCCAAAGAAGAATCCTAAACCAGTTTGGTCATGTTGTCCCGTATTAAAACCTCCTGTCGGATTTAGGATCTAGGGAACACCCAAGCCCGCAGCCGTTCCCAGAAGCAAGGAGGGTTTGCAGTCCCGGAAAGCCGGCGTGCCGCAATTTGCGATTTTCTGGGTTGACCTAAACTCTCTAAACCCTAAACCTAATCCATAAGGGTTATCGCTGATGCAGCCTCAAACAGGCTATCGCAGAAGGAACGCTGACAGTACATCGCTAACCTTCCCGCCGAAAAATGCTTTCCAGGCGGCACTACCCAAGCGAGGACTTTAAAGGGATCCACAAGGGCATGTATAGGGTTTCTACAAGGGTACTATCAGGGTAGTTCGCTAAATTTGGGTCCCGGTCAAGGTCCCCAAGACATGACGGCACCCTTGTAAAAAGCACCCCAAAGGGGACCCTGCTTTAGAGAAGTACCTTCATGGGCGGAATACGCCTTGAATTTCAGAGGAGCTGGTACCATGATCTCAGGTATGTTCCTTAATCCAGGGTAGGGTCTGTGGTTTAACATGTACGATGCCCCGAAAGCCTTTATAGTTTCAAAACAGCAGCTCGCGACGGAAGGTTTGATGGTGTCGAGGAAGAGCGGGGATCAAGGACGGTCCAGATTCCCGTTGTGTCAGCCTGGGTTCTGCAGAGTCCTATAGGGTCTGCTGTTGAAACAACAACACTAAAACTGGTGAATTCTGAAACCCTACACCCTAGCCTAGACCCTGGCCCTATAAAAAAACCCAAGCAGACTTTGAAACAGCGAACCCTGAACCCTAAACTTGAGGGTTCAGGGTGAAGCCATCGGAACCGCTTGACCTAAAGCCCCTCAGAGTCCAAGTGCAAACAATTAATACAGGGGCCTCAGTAATTGAAACGCTGCGCGTCGTCCACCTCGGCCCGGCTGTACGCGCATGCGGCGAGTGGCTACTATCTGCAGCAAGCTCTTGTAGGAAAAAAGTAACAGTTGGAATCGCACTTATAGTGAAAGTAATGTTCATAGCAACACGAAGCAGGATGATTGTGAGTAGTATAAGTAGTGGTAGTATCAGTACGAATTTTGGTGTCGTCATTCCGAAATACTGGATACCAAGACTCTCGCAAGCGGCGGGATGCCTTAAGTATGGGCCGTTGAGGCTGTGGATTTCGTGGGCGTCTTGGATTAGGGAAGCATCACACCCTTTTCAACCACGTTACTCCGCCTATCCCAACGAAAGGGCGTCTAAAGCAAGCCTGAGACGCAAAGCCATCAATTCGATACCAACATAGGGGGCCAAACAATGATTAAATCCCTGCTGGGGTTTTGTTTATTGAAGTCATTAAGGCCTTGCAAGAAATAGAGACGGCAGCCATGCATGGCCGCTGGGCGCCACCGGGTGTAGGGTTAGGAATTCAGGTTTGAAACTCGCTTGGTACTGCAGCCTTAAAGGCGAGCCCCAACACATAAAGATGCTACATTGCAGCGAAAACTCAGCGAGCGGAGGAGGGGCGGGAGGGAAAGGGGGAGGGGGGGGGGGGGGGGGGGGGGGGGGCAGGGGAGCGGGGGTGAGGGGAAAATTGGGTGGGCTGCCAACAGAAAGCCAAAATCCACTGGAGAAGGCGAAAATTCACCGCCGGACCTTGGGGCTCATCGACACGTTTCCATTCTTTAGGGGGGGTGGCCACGATTTTGGGGGTGGTCACTGGGGAGGGGATTTAAGAGGTGGGGAATAGACGAAATCCGAATAGGAACCTCTGACCGCTTCGGCCGGGGCCGAGGCGAATTACCTATTATGGGGGTTCCTCATTATAGTTATAGTATAATGGGCCGCAAGACCCTAGTCTAATTATTAAGGCCCCTATATTACCAAATCCCCAGGTCGCTTTTAGAAGTTGGCTGTTTCAGCCGAGGGTCATACGACCGCTCATGTTGACTGGGTTGCTGTAAAGGTTATATGGTTTAGGGCTATTAGAATTCGAAGGGTTGTTATGAAGGGTATGACACGTTTTGCGAAAAGGTCTGGGTGTAGGGTTAGGTGGTTGTGCCCTTTAGGCTTGGTGTTCAAGGGTTCAGGCTTTTCGCTGCTTTTGTCTACTGTTTGCCCGTGAGTCATTTCAAGCTGAGGCTGAGGGCGGTAAACCTACCGCAGATCCACCCAAACGGTCATACCCTACCCCCTTCTTTAGGGTACCCATTTTCCTAGACACCAGATCCTAACCATAAAAGCAAACTACCGATCTGGCTTGCACTCCCCCAAAAGGGCCGAGCGCACCCCGTAAGCGGTTCAGGGGTGTACGGATTATCTTGCTTTAAACCGTTAACCCGAAACAAGACGCCCGAGCCCCAAACTCTCAGCCATAAGCCAAAAGCCATAAGCCCAGCTCAAGGAGTATCCAGACACCTCCAAAAAGCTCCCCGGACCAAGAAGCGGCACTCCGATCCTGCAATGAATAACACCAAGGCTCCACGTACCTGTATAGTTTACCCGTGGCCGAGAAGACCTATTTTGTTTAGGGTTCCCTATCAGAGTATTTGGGCCCTAAAGGACCTATATAGGAACCCCTTCAAAATCCTAAGTCTACTATATAGGGAGCTTGAGGGTCAGCTCCCAAGCTCGAGCATCCCTGTGAGCCACTGCAATAGCTGCAGTTTTCCCACAGGAAGCGGCCGTGCTTCGATGATGTTGAGGCACTTCCTGCCCTTCACCTGGCATGATTTTTGAGGTTTAGGCTTACATACATTAGTTGCAGCATGGGTTCACAGTATTGGTGCAAGGAATCCCTACACTGCACTTACATCTTTTAATTTCCATGGCGCTCCAACTTTCTAGCTTCGGGTGAAAAGAAGCAGCTGTCGTTTTCTGCCCCGCTCACATAGCATCTGTACAGGAAGCATCTTACTAGAGGGGAAGTCATTTCGGGCCCAATCGCCTGCCATATAGACTAAGAAGCCGAAAAAATCACCCACATTATTCCTGTTATAACGATACTATTCTGGACCCTAAGACCCTATTCTAGCTATCAAGGCCCTTACATTATGTGGGTTGTAGGCGTTTTTTGTTACGTTTGGCATGTGTTCGGTGTTAAACTCAAACTGCCATCCAGGCACACTGGGCCCTTGGCTTGCTTGGCCTCTCCACTTAACCCCCATTATCGCATCTGATACTAATACCCGCCAGAAACTGTAGTAATTAGATCCTTCAAAACTCAACAAAGTCCCCAAACATCACTACCTAAGCCCCCAGAAGTAGGTAAAATAATGGCCCAACTCCTCTAAAAGGCTATTATTCTACATACCTTTGGCGTCCAGGTAAGCCGTATAACGACGCAAGCCATCTAAAGATCTGAACTTACCAGGTCATTCCTAAAGCCCCAAGCCACACAGGATCCTGTTCCGGAAGCGCGCAAACTCCCGGCATCGACCTTTTGCAGCCCCCACAGCCCCAAAGTAAACACTCCTAACCGGTTCATAGGTGGTTATAAGTCGGGTGTTAATTCGGATTAGAATAGTTAGAACCCGCATCAGCGGACGTATAACCCTACTTAGAATAACTACAGCATAAAGATCTGAAGCCATCATAGCCCTAGTGGCCCCTATCAGGAGGTCATGGACACCCAGGCCGGCCAAGCGAATGATTCGAGCATCTTAGGGCCTTGGGTTTTTTATTTAGAATTCAAACCTAGGCCGTCGTTATGAACCAAGGAGTCACTGACAGCAGAAATAGGGGTAACAAAAATGCTTTAAGGTAGGCTTGCTGGTTCAGTATGGTTTCCGCTTCAAGATCTTATGTAGTGTTTCAGTCCTTCTAAGGCTTGTAGGATCTGGTGCCCAAGGTCTGAGGGCCTGACGGCTTCGGCGGTTTTGATGTAGGGCTTAAGGCTTAAGGCTTGGAGGTGTTGCCCCCGGGTTTAGGGTCTAGTTTTTGGATTTCCTGTATCAGTTCTTTCTAAACGGCCGTATAGAACGGAGTTCCCTTTTATGGGTTACCAAGTTTGTGCTCAGAACCCGAAAGTACGGGAACGCGTTTTCCAAAGCCGGAACTTCCGTGAATTGAGAGTGCGATTTTTCACAGGGATAGTCCACCTAGGCTTCGTCGTGCAAGCCCATGGACAAGGACGCAGAAGTTTAGGTTTTCCGCTAATTCAAGGGGCCTTGAGCTTAAGTGCATGCTTTGAACTGATTTTGTGTCTGTAAGAGAAGATATTCGTGCCTTTCGGTTGACATGCAAAAAGTTGCCAAGTAGTTGTTGTCATCACTGCTCGTCACAGCAGTCAAGTTAGCTATGAGCTTACCGAAGCAGAACCCTTTGATGTTTCCACTTATGGAAACGGTGGAAATTCGGCACGAAAGCGGGCATGTGGGCACTTGGCGTGGTGGCATGGGACTGCTGCGCACGGATTCCGCGATCCTTCTTCACACCCGACCCGAAGGGTTTCGTAGCATCGAACAGGCACTGGTTCGTTTCCGGGCCGTTTGGCATTTGGCGCGAGAGGGCATGCGAGCTTCACTTGCTGGGCGACGACTTTTGCTGCGTGCTTCCCACAGGAGCAGGACAGGCGCAGTTCACACGACTTGCACAGGGATTTGCAGCTCCGTTTGGCCAAGACCTGGAGACATTGCATGAAACAGACATTCCACGCCGTGAGGCTTGGAAGCGTGTATGAAGTTCCCTTGCCCAATGCCGAGCGCTAACCCATAGGGCCCAAGGGCCACCTTGTAGGTTCCACACTTTTGGTCTAAGGAAAATTAGCGTCATTCTACCTATTTGTACGAAGTCCTTTCCGTCGTCCAATTAGCTTCGAAGCCGACAAAGCTAAGTGGTAGTTTCCGAAAATGTGGGACCCCAATATAGTACCCTAAATAATAGGATGCCTATTATTTGGACCCTAAAATAAGATACCCTTTATTTCGGAAACTCCCAAGTATCAGCAGTTCATACCTCCGCTATAGCGAGGGGTACTTCTAAACGTGCTCTGATTCGACAGGCCAGTGAGGTGACTCCGAGTGCCACGCTCGGGGTGGAAGGCTGGCCCCGGGATTGTGCCGAGGTGTTGCGAGCATCCGTTCGAGATTATATGGGAGTTTCCCAAAATGAGGGGTACTTTAATTTGGGGTCCTTATAATAAGGATCCTACCTTTTTAGGGTACTACAGTTGGGTCCCCTATTTTCGGAAGCTCCCATATGTCGACTAGAGCAGTTGCTGCTGGCTGGTCCTTTGTGTCTCGCTGCTCGTAGAAGGCTCCTGCTGCTGAGACGTCAGTTAAGGGGGTTAGGGCCCAGGTTGTGTTGTTTCAAGATTTGTATCTGCTCGTCTTGCTCCCAGCAGCTCCGGTTCTCGCAACGCGTGTTGTTGAAAGGATGTCAATGCTTCAAAGTACACGTTCTGAGGTTCTTATCCCTAAGCCCTCCACCCCAAACCCTGACCCTGAACTCTAAACCTTAAACTCAAACACTAACCCTAAGGGTCCAAGTAGTCCTTATTTATGATTTTTCATACCTACAAAGGCCCTGAAGTCCCAGACTGTAGTAGGGAGTACTTGGACCCTCTGGGTAAATTCTAAACAAGTTCAAGGTTGAGGGTTTAGGGTTTAGAATGCACTGGCCTGATCTGGAAACTCCGCGGCCATGTCGGAGGCGTTCATAATTTGGAATTGGTTTTGTTTTTGAAAGTAGGGTTTAGGGTTCTTTTTGAGGGTTCTATAAGGGATGCAAAATGGGGTTCTAAACCTCAATTAAGGGGCTTTAAGTGTTGAGACCCGACAAGAACGTCAAAGTAAAATCAGCTTGCTAATGCTCAGAAACCTCCACCACAAGGACATGTGCTTCCGGGTTCCTAACCGTCCTGACCCAGAACGCACGCCATCTTCCCAAAACCTAAACCTTCGCAGCTAGGCTATAATACACCCCTATATAACCCTAAACCCCCAGACGCTGCACCATGTATGTTTGTGGGTGCCTACCCCTCAGGCCCCAACTTGTATAGGCTCTGCAGTACTATACAGGAGCCCTATTAAGGCTTGAGTTTATACTCTACATACACATATTAATACAAAGAGAGAGAGAGAGAGAGATATATATATCTATATATATATATATATATATATATATGAAAGGCTTATAGGGTTCAGGTTCAAGTACCGCCGGGAGATCAATGACTTCGTTGAAAGCAGCCTATGCCCTAACCGCATCTAAATGCCCTGGTTGGAACCTCAAAGGAATCCCAGGAATCCCATTAGTATAAAGATCTTATCTCCTCGTTGATCCCGCACCCTCTTCTTTCTGGCGCAGCTAAGATAGGTGAAAGGCACCCTCCAAGGATTCAGATTCAAGTACCACGTTGGGTGTAAACATAAGTTTATATGTACGAGAGTGAGCCCTTAGTTTGAAGGGTCTGTTTATCCTTCAGGATGAGGTCTTTAACCTTGTGGTACCAGACTTGACGGACTGGATCATGGTGGATTGTTCAGCGCGGCCAGTCAAAAAAATGGAGTCGATGCCGCAGAATACGGAGCGCTTGTACGTGCCGACTTGTCAACTTCGCATGGTTGGCGCAGTTGCCTGATTACGCAGCCGAATGCCATCAGCTACATGACAACTTATGCATACGTGCTGTCCTTTGTACCTTTAGTGTGGCTTCGATTCTCACGTTTTTGCTGCTTTTAATACAAGACCTAGCCCGAATCGGACGGGACAAGTTTAGCCCTACTGCAATTCCCGCAACATCTTGGCACGCTCATTAAGCTCATCCACTAAAACGGACTTAGCATGCAGCGAACTTTTCACAAAAGATGAAACACAATGTTGTCGTTACGGATTGGCACTCAAGAAAAGAACTAATTCATCCTGGTGTAATCCCCACCCAGCAATTTTGGTTCGACGTCCCAGGCCCCTGCAGCATACTGGCTGTTGATGCCCCCTGAGCTTATATGCTTCGTGCATGCAGGCGCCGGCATAATCATACTTGCGCGAGCTTCTCAGACCATATTAACCAGTTAAGTCACAAGTTTGCCAGCCAATAAGGGAACAGACGGGAACAGACCGTCCACCCATGATCCACGTTGTTGTGTACCTGCTACTGTTCAACAGTGGCAGACGTCAGCTTGGAAACCCCAAACTGTAAACCAGCTGGACCCGAAACCCTTAAACCTTAAACTGATTTTAGGCAGCTCTCCTTGCCTCCGGGCCTCATAGAGGTCCCACAAAATTAACCGGCGCATTTCCAGGCTCCGTGTTGGCGGTGCGAGAGTGCATCCACCAGGTGCTGTCGAGTTGGCACGCGCCCTAAATTGTCAGGTGATGGGTCCCGGATACAAAAATTTATCCTATCCCGGAGTTTAAGCCCAACCCTGAATCATATCGACCCCGCGAACACGAAGCCTCTTGAAAACGTACTTTCATTATAATTACTCGTTTGTCAAGAGTAACAGCCACCTCAGACTCGCCCCCTGTAAATCTTCATGCCCAAGAAGCCACTGAGTGTGGCACGCTCCTGTGCTGAGTCTTTAACATCTACTGGCATCCGCTTCACGCTCTGGAGACTTGGTAAAAAGGTTAGGTGTTTAGCCCTGTGGGCGGTGCTACAACCACAAAGGCTAAGCCGCGGGTTGCAATAGGAATTGGACAAGTAAGATTCGGTAAGATGGCTTATCTTCTGAATTCTTCAACTGAGTAGGCTATGATGCATGGGACCCAGTTGAATTCAGGAGGAGGTCCCATCCAACGTTTGCCCAAGGTGGATCACCGGCAAGTCCCGGCGCGAACTGGAGGACGGCTGATGGCTGCGGAGGGCTTGTCGTGAGCCGGATCAGTGCAGTGTTAAGGGTCGCTAAACCATGTTAAACCCTTAAGCCCCAAACCCAGGGTTCACGTCTTATACGGTTTAGGGTTGAGGGCCTGTGCGTGTTTAGCTGCTTTAGCTGCTTGAGTACGAGGTGAGTCGTTTCATTGACTACGGCTTGGGCTTGGGAGGCTTCGACCCCACCGTCGACCTCCTGTAAACCCAAGCCATACAGTTGCAGTGGATAGCTTCATGGACTTTACGATGTTTAAAGCCTTACGTAGCCTCATAGGACTTTTTGTTGAGGTCTTCCTCTGCCAAGTTCCAGGTTAAATCGAGACTTTCCTGCTTGATGTCTGAAACGTTTTTGCAAACCCTGCATTGTTATCTTATAATGTTGTATGGCATGCACACTATACCGGTCTGAACATTTCTTTAACACTCATGTCCCCGGATATTTTACTATGATGTACCCCAAAGTGTATTTATGGCTGCGGTATACTCCATAGTCTTTCTCTAAATATTCAGGATCCTACATTCCTCCAGGCCTTAGACCTTGAGCTATCGCCTCTCCTGCCACTAAACCTCCTGATAGCTGCCCCGACAGAAATGTAGGAGTGGGATTAATTATGGTTTAGGGTTTGAAAGTTCACAGTTATGGCATTCCCTAGGGTTTTTTTGTCAGAGGCCCTAGACCCTACTTTGATCAGTAAGGCCCCTCTATTGCCCTCCTTGCGCCTTCCAGATAGAGAAGGCCCTTGATTGCACCCTTTTTATAGACTGTTACTGTATGGGGGGCACAGTACCGATGATATACCCGTACTTGGAGAATCATCGGACTTTGTAAGTAAGGTTATAAGTGCCCTAATCGGGGATATAAATAGTCATAAGTATAGTTACCCGAATCATACACCTAGTTACTAAGTCCCATGATCCCTTATAAACCCTACAGCCCCCGCAGATCCCTTATAGAGCCCTTTAAGGAACCCTTTCAGTTACTCTGCCCCATGATCCTGAAACCCTAAACTTTTCATAGACCCCTTAAACCCTAAAACCCTACCGTAAACGAACCCTGGAGATCCCTTTATAGAGCCCTTTAAGGAACCGTTTAAGTTACTAAGTCCCATGACCCTAAGTAAGTAGCCCTTAACCCTAAACCCTAAACCCTTCAACCCTAAACCCCAAAACCCTTTGAGTTACTAAGTCCCATGATCCTTTAAGCAGGCAGCCCTGGACCATCTCCGCTACATCGAGACCGAGCTACCCATGCAGAAAGATGAGCGGCTGGGTCAGCTTTAGTAAGGTTCAGGGTTTAGGGGTTCAAGGGTTTAGGGTTTAGGGTGTAAGGGTTGAAGGGTTTAGGGGTTCAGGGGTTTGGGGTTTAAGGGCATAGGGGTTTAAGGGTTTAGAATTTTAAGGGGTTTAAGGTTTAGGGGTTTAAGGGTTTGGGGTTTGGGGTTTAGGGTTTAGGGGTTAAGGTTTAGGATTTAAGGGCTTAGGGGTTTAGGGTATAGGAGTTTAGGGGTTTAGGCTTAGAGGTTTAGGTGTTTAGGGTTTAAGGGCTTAGGGGTTTAAAGTTTAGGGTTCAGGGTTTGGGGTTAAGGGTTTAGGGTCTAGGGTTTGGGGTTTAGGGTACCCTGAGTCAGCTTCAGCTTTCCCGAGCCTCGACATATGGTGTAGGGTTTACGGGTGTCCCCGCTGCTGGAATTTCGACCGTAGTTTATATATATATATATATATATATATACATATATATATACACACACATACATACATACATGCATACATACATACATACATTTTTACATACATACATACATACATACATACATACATACATACATTTTTAGATGCATACATATATACATATATACATATATATATATATATGTATAAATATATATATATATATATATATATATATATATTTATATATATATATATATATATATACATACATAGACATATACAGAAAAGAATACGTTCACATACACATATACGTATGCACTTAAATAAATTTGCATATACGTATAAGGATATAGATATAGGTACAGATATATAGGTATAGATGTAGAAGCCTCTCGGGGCCCAGCAGCTGCAAAAATGTGAGTCCTCAGAAGACCACCTGAGCTCAGAGTTGAATGCGCAGTTGTGCACGGCTGTTGAGGCTTCGGTTTGTGGTCGGCTTGGATTTACCCAGAGGCTCCTTAGTAGTTCCCTTTTGGGATTCATATTTAGAATCCTATAAGGTGACCCCAAAAAGGAACTACTATGGAGCCTATGGGTAGTTGGGTGTCTAGCAACTTTTTGGACTGCGGTCCTGTAGATCTCGGTGTGCAGAGTTTGGCTCGGGTACTGCCCCCACTCAGTAACAACTCGGATAATATTCAGAATATAGATAGATTAGGACCTTAACAGTAGCCCTATTATAGACTCTTACTGTATGGGGGGGGGGGCAGTACCAAAAGTTTGGCGCTTCTTGGAGTTTCATGTCCTCGAGCTTGGGATTTACCCGAAACCTCAAACCCTAATATTTAAAATTATAGTATCCTTATGGGAGGGGGCTCCAAGGGGGTAGGTAACCTACTAATCCCTGGTTCTCTCCAGTGCTCCCTAAGGCTCCCTTCAGGTTCCCTAAGGATCCCTTGTACCCTCCCCCCTTGAACCACCCTCCCTTAAGGACAATATAATAAAATCCTGAAGCAGTCTCCGAAGCTGAACCCAAGACGATTGCAAGTTTGATGTCGAGCGCGGCTCTAGGTCTTGGGTTCGCAGATTTGTTTCTGGGCTTTGTTATAAGGGTTTAGGGTTTAGGGTTCGCGGAGTGGATAATTTCTGCTGGCCAAGGCAGCACAACAGCATCAGCAATGAAGAGAAGAAGAAGAACAAAAGCTCTCTGGAGGACTCTCTGGGCCCTGCTGCATGCTAGGGCATTGTCCCATACGGAGGTAGGAGAGCAGCTGTCGTAGTAGTCGTCGTAGTGTCCCAAAACCCTAAACCCTGAACCATAAACCCTAGGCCCTCAACCCTATACCTTAAACCCTGAACCCTAAATTTTAAAACCGTAAACCCTAAACCCTAATGCCTGAAGCTTAAACTGACAGCACCGACCGGCTAAACGGCTTCGATGCGAAGCCAAGCCCCGATCTACAGTAAACTCCAGAAAGTTGGAAACCGGATTGAGGCCAAGTAGCCCTATACATTATTCTTAAGGATTGAGGCTATAAGGTTTCCAACTTTGGGGCTTCTACTGTAAGCCTCCAGCACCGCAGGAGTTGCACGAAGAGCTCCAGGTGCCTTCAGAGTTTAGGGTTTAAGGTTTAGGGTTCAGGGCTTAGGATTAAGGGTTTACGGTGGATCCTGTGTGGGTTCTGCAGGGTTTCTAGAACTAGAATCTATACTTACGGATATCAGGTTCATCAGGTTTACGTCTCTTCTCCTTTAAACTTATAAGCATGGTATTGCTCTTTGAAGCTGGCTGTGGGTGATACCCGTCCCTTGTGCTAATGAGGCTCCAGTACTATTGCTGTCTAGGGCTCCTAAACCCTAAACCCTAAATCCCTAAACCCTAAACCCTAAACCCTAAACCCTAAAGATGTGCATGTGACATCGAGTCCCGAATCAAAACACATGCAAGACCCGAGAGCCTCCGGGCTCCGTGGGCTTAATGGTGTCGAGAGATGAAGCCTTTAGGGCTTCGGGGTTAGGGGTTTAGGGGTTTAGGGGTTTAGGGGTTTAGGGGTTTAGGGTTTAGGGGTTTAGGGGTTAGGGTTTAGGGTTTAGGGGTTTAGGGTTTAGGGGTTTAGGGGTTTAGGGTTTAGGGGTTTAGGGTTTATGTATATATGCATACATACATTCATTCATGCAGTCATTTTTCATTCACTCATTTATTCATTCGTTCGTTCGCCCAGAGAGGCATGTACAAATACACTCATACCAACATACATACGGACATCTCAGAAAAGATAGTGCTACATATATATATATATATATACATACAACAAATAGAACTCTCTATATATATATATATATATATATATATATACATATATACATATATATATATATATATATATATATGCATAGGCGTATACATGTAGAGCGAGAGGAAGAGAGAACAACGAACAAGACAACAAAGAGAGAGCGAGAGGAGAGATAGAGAGAAAGAGAGAGAGAGAGAGAGAAACAAAGAACGACAGACAGACAGAAAGAAAAAAAGAGTACTGCCACAGAGGGCGCAGAGATGAGGCCGGGAGGCAGGAACGAGCGAGAGCGAGCGAGGGAGGGCGGGATGCAGAGCCAAGGCACATTCGCAAGACAGGTAGACAGAGAGTGCCAGGTAAAGAGATTGAGCGGGAGATACAAAGATAGATAGATAATGGGTACAAAGGTAGATGTCAAGGGTATTTGACATATTGACCGAGCCTTCCCTACTGCGACTTGATCGCAAGATGATCCCTTCAGTGAATCCTCCGACGCTCAAAAACCCTAAACCCTATGCCCCCAAATCCTGAATCCTAAACCTTGATCCCCACAACTGTGGATTTCGCCAGCCTTAACTGCAGGGCGGAAAAAGGGTGCTCAAAAAAAACATGATCCCCGAACCCCGGAACCGTGGGTTGCGCCGACCTTAACTGCCAGGTGTGGAAAAAGGCGTTCAAAAAAAAAAAGAACCCCGGAACCGAAAACCCAAAAGGTTGGCAAGACAAAGTCCGTCTCCCGGCGATGGCTTGTGGAGACCTTTACAGAGGCTGCGCTTCTACCATTCCCGGGTCTTCTTATTTGTTGGTTTGGGGGCTGTGCGGGTTTTGAAATCAGGGGTTTAGGGGTTTGTAGATCATGTCCCATTAGGAGGTATGATGTGTCCCGCTGTATCACGACAAGAGTTCATGACATGCATCAGTATCGTACTCATCATACTTCCACCAGCATCTCCAGGATCGTTATCGCCATTGTCATCACCTTCGCCATCTTATGTTTGACCACAATGTAGTGACAGTGAGTGCGCTCGGTGCTCCTGCTCGTTTCGGCCTCGTACTTCCGAATTGTTCAACAAGAACAACTGAGCTTGTGCACTCATGCATGTCATGCCAGTTGCATCACAAAGTTTCCTTCAGCCCGGCCTTCGTTTCCCGTAGACATCCTCAGACGCCCATAAGCTCTAATTGAACCCAAGGCCATAAACCTCTGAACTGTGTTTTGCTGCCTCGGCCGAAGTGCTTCGCCCCCGAACTACTAACTTCCTAAGTGTCTCTGTGACTGCATGCATAAACCCCTGAAGCCCTAAACCCTACACCCTAAACTCTGAGCTTTTCAGCAAAACCCAAAACCCCTGAACCCCAACACCCTACAAAGCATGAAGGAGTCCGGGATTCCCAGGGCCTTCAATGCAGCATCCCAGTCTACCCACGGTCTTCCTGGTTCTTAGTAGGGACTGGGGACATGGGTCTGCGTTACAGGGACGACCTTGGGGATTTATTCCCCGATGCCCTACGAAGAACCCTTATTCAGAGTCCTGATTAAGAGCCAGAGAGCAGTTCCATGTCAGGGGCATGAGCTCTCCGCCTCACGCAGAAGCAGCAACATCTCCGAGGTAGGGGTGTAGTTCTGTTCAGGGTCTACGGTTGATTCTGTTCTCATGTAACATGGTTGGATCCACGATGGAGGCTTTAGAGTACTATGTCGTGTGGTAGGCGGGTAGAGGCCATAAGCAAGACGACCTCAGAGCGTACATACAGCGATGGATTCGCATTGGCTGTTGACACCTCAAGCATATTGAGGCGTCAGATGTGTTCGTTTCTGGCTGCTTTATGTCTGCTGATTGGCACTGTTTTAGGGTGACGGGTCTTACTATTGTGAAAACTCTTGTTATTATTACGTTTGCCATAGCTCGTACATACTACTACTCTTACCATGACTGTGGCCATTACGATTACTATCGCTTTTATATAACTACTCTTGCTGGCGCTAACATACTATGCCGTCATGCCAGGTCACCCCCCTCTCCCCGCGATCTTCACTGCCACGACCTGAGACCATCAAGTCGTCCGTTCTCCTTTGAGAACAGCGTGTGTTTTCCTGTGAATCTCGGGGTAAAGGTGCGCGAGCTACTGTACCCAGAGACTCCACTATCCCTTAATTAAGGAATAAATCATACTAGGGACCCCTACCATAAGGTAAGGTATATTCCTGAATTAAGGGATAATGGAGTCTCTGGGTAGGTCCTCAATGGAGAATTGCACCCTCACCCAAGCCGTACATCAAGACCTAAATCCAAAGCTTTGCCTCTTTATGCAAACCCCTTAACCCCTGCCGAGAATCCTGCACCCATGAACACTTAGCCCGTAGACCGTAATCCCCGAAACCTTTAAACCCCCTAAACCCCTGAGCCCCCCGAACCACAGATGCCACTCTTTGAGTCTCTTGGTGCTTTGGCTTGGGGGAGTTTCGGGGGTTGAATCTTGAGGGTTCGTTTCGGGCCTCCTACTTTAACCTACCAAACCATACCGTTTTGTAGGGTCCCTATAAACTCCATATTAGGGTTCATAATAAGAACCTACAGAAACTTACGGTTTGGTGGGCTAAGGTAGACTTAGGTCTGCCACATTCAGTGATCCTTACTACAGGATCGGGCTGTGTATGAGGGGTCCCTGCTGTCTGAGATCTCCGCTTACTTGTCTGATCCGTGCCCGACTTGAAGCCCAAGTGTTGCATGGACCCTTAGGGTTTGGGTGTGTAGTTCTCATTCAGGAAAGTGGCGGCTTCCGAGGAGGCACATTCCGAGCGGGACGAGAACGAGGTGGGACATTTCATCATGTGCTCACACGCTGCGCATCAACAAGCCGTGGATCTAAGACTTGTGCTGCGTACATTGGCGGATCTCCAATAGACACACTAACACTGCCAGCTCTAGCCATGAACAGCGGTGCCAGACGCTCTGGACATGACTTTTCAACATTCTGGCTGCTTCCCCTGCTTTTGCGGAGGCGGGGACTGAACCTCAGTTCCCAAGCCTCATGCCTCGAAGTAGTTCCTTTTTTGGAAAAAATAGGATTCTAAATGTGACCCCCAAAAAGGAACTTCTTTAGGGCCTTAGGGCAAGCCTCATGCCTCATCGTGCCTCGTGTATCTTGACATTCCAAGGAGACCCCTACTGCCATATAGGGGCCTTGATAGTTAGAATAGGGTTCTGGGGTGTAACACTGGGGCCCATTATCCATAATTAAGAGAAGGAGCCCCCAAAATAGTAGGGTTTTGGGGCCCATTATCCAAAATACGAAGAAGGAGCCTCCAGAATAGTAGGATTCTAGTGCCCACTATCCATAATTATAAGAAGCTCCAAAATAGTATAATGCTCCAGAATTTTAAACAGGAGACCCCGAACTGGTGTAGCGTTCTCTTGCCCCCTAATTCTAAGAAGGAACTCCCCAAAACAGTATGGTGCTAAACCCTAAACCCTAAACCCCCCAAAGCCCAAATTGGGCAGGGAGTCGGCAGAGTGAAAGTCCCAATGCACCCTTTAAAAAAAAAAACAAAAAACCCTAAACCCTAAACCTGCAGCTTTACGCGGACATCGAGCCCACAGACGCGGGGGACATCGTGGTCAGCCTGTCTGGTGAGAGCGAGGCTCGGGTTTCTATCGGTGTCCCTAGGGTTTTTTAAGGGATCCCTTAAGTTTAAGTGTTGCTTTAAGGGATCCCTTGAGGGATCCTTTAAGGGATCCTTTAAGGGTTCCTATAAGGGTTTAGGGTTTGAGGGTCCATGTATCCAAACAGTATATACAGCGGCCTTAAAGTAGTCCCCACATAGGTGCATTGAGGCCAAAGCATATCCTATTTGGGTACATGGACCCTTAGAAGTATTTGAGCCCAAAGGGTCCTTGGCATCGTTATGGGGAATACTTCCCCAACTCATAATAATAAATCCGAATATAGAAACCCTACGTTCTACTATAAAGGTACTTTGGACCCTTTGGGAAGTGCAATTCCGAGGCTCCAGAGGTTCGGGCTTAGCATCTGGGGTTGAGAGTGTGGATGTAGGTAGTAGGGTATAGCCAAGGTTCTTCTTTGTTGCAGCTTCGGTTGTGGAACGTGTTTTTAGAGGTTTGAAGCTCTGGCGTTTGGTAGCTTAAGCCTCCAAATGCCCTAAACCCTCGAGCACCCTTGACATGCCAAGGAAGGACTTGGGCCCTTAAAGTCCCCGTGAGTCCTTTCAAGAGCAGGCTTTTGCAAACTACGCCAACAGGGTATACCTTGAGCTACCAAAGGCCTGGTATTTTGTAGGCCTCCTATAGGAAGCCTACAAATGTCAGGTCTATACATTAGGGTTGACATTACGAACCTGCACGAAAATAGGATATGGTAGGTAGCACGTGGCGTTGCGAGGGTGTCTTGAAATCCGCTTGGTTCTGCAAGGCTACATGAGGCCTTTGCGTCTGTGTCGTCTTGAACCATGGATCATATCCCTAATCTCTGTCCTGAAACCTTCCTATACTAACCTGAACCCTAAACCTTAAACCCTAAACCCTAAACCCTTAAACCCTAAAAACCTTGAACCCTGAAACCCCTAAGCCCTTTAACCCTAAACCCCTCAGCCCCTAAACCCCTAAACCCCGAAACTCAAGTCCGCCTCGTTGGGAGGTCGCCGAACTCTTGCGAGGCTACCGACACTGAGAAAGGAGGGTGGGGAGGTTTAGGGACTTGGGACCGTGGGGGCACATTAAAATTACATACTACTTATTGCATTATATATATATATATATACACACATACGTATAAGTCGTATCACTGTATGTGTCCAGATTTTGTGTTTTAGGACCCGCAGGGTTCGATTGGTGAGTGCTTTGAGGCCCGTCATCTTCCAATCTTAAGCCCTCAATCCCTCAAACGAGCGGTTGTCCGAAATGCTAACCTAGGCCTCCCAGTGCGCCCTTTTTCCCGTTTTGTAGTCCTAGGTTCCTTATCAGGTTACCCAGTACCAGAAAGGGAGCCCCTTTTATTCCTAGGTTACTGGGCATCCTAGTAAACCTTTGAGCAGCACGCCCTAAGTTCCTAAGCTCTGATCCTTTTAAACTCCAACACTTTAGGACCGCATTTAAGGACCCCCGTTCGAAGAGACCCCAAACCTTAAATCCTGGACATTATCCCTACACCCTAAACCTTCAAACAATCCCTGAACCCTACACCCGCTGTGGATCGAGAGTCCGAGCAGAAGCAGCAGAAACCCCAAACCCCAAACATCAAACCCTGCAAAACCGGCCGCAAGTGAGAATTTCAAACACTTACCTACACCCCTAGACCCTAAACCCTACACTCCTAAACCCTAAACCCCTGAACCCTAAACCCCTAAACCCTGAACGAGGTGTGGGGCGATTGGACTTCGACATCCTGGGCTTCGCCGAGCTGCCAGGGATCAAGGGACACATGCTCGAGGCTTTCCTGTTTAGAGGTTTGGGGGTTTAGGGGTGTCCAGGGTGTAGGGTTTAGGAGTTTAGACTTTAGGTGTTTAGAGGTTTGGGGTTTAGGGGCTCAGGTTTTAGGGTTCAGGTGTTTGGGGTTCAGGGGTTAGGGCCGGTTAGGGTTTAGGGGTTTCGGGTTTTTAGGGTTTGAGGCTTCCCTGAAATGGACGCCTTAAGGCCCAAGGCACCCAATAAGTCGGGTTCCTTACATTTGAAGCCCTGTAAACCCTACCTATAGTCTCCGTTGTAGTTCTGTGTTTGGGTTACCTCCATAGGATCCTAAATGCAGACTTGCTTAAGCCAGAGAGAAAGAGAACTACAACAAAGACTAGAGGTGCGGGTCCGAAGGACACAGTAGATGAGGTTTCGGGGTTCTGTGAGGATTCTGTCAAGGGTTAGATAAGGGAACATACTAGAGCTGCCTGGATCATTATTAACATTGCTTCTTGGGGCTTCTTGCTGTAACTTACACTAGCACTGCACTCCAGGACCCTATTCTCATTATGAACAGGCCTATATTCTTCCATAGAGACTACCGAACCCTCAGGCTCAAAAGCCAAACGACTTGTCATAGAGAAGTGTGATCCCGAAGAGACTGAGGGTGCTCTTGGGACCGGACAAAATTTGTAAGACTATCCACCTGCATACTAAATGTGTAGAAAGTATAGTCGAAGACACCCACAAAATCCGCTCGATAGTATCAATGCCTATAGATCCCTTAAGTGTAGGTCCTGTACTTTAAAGAACCTCAAAAGGAGCATTGTTCTAAGTTCAAGTGCCCTATATTTTGGTAATTATGTCTCTTAGCCCCGAAAACGTATGATGAACCCTTATAGACTTATAGATCCCTTACAAGAAGCTTAAATTATGGTAACTTGATTTATACCCCGTTACCCCCAAATCCTAAACCTTGAACCCTTGAACCCCTAAACCCACAAGCCCTAAACCCTAAACCTCCAAACCCTAAGGCCTAAGCCCTACTTAAAGGATCATGGGACTTAGTAGCTAGAGTTATTATTGATTATTAAGGTATTTGCACTTAGAATTACTTATAACCCCAAGTAGGGGACTTATAACCATCCTTACTTAGTCCCATGATTCTCCAAGTAAGCCCCTTAACAAGGGCCTTGAAGCGGCAGGTCCTTTTCCAAAAGGCGGCACAACATCACAGTCTTCTCGAGAAGTTGGAGGATCAGTCGGCAGTGAAGGAGGTCCCATGCCTAAACCCTCTTAGGGTTTGGGGTTTAGGGTGGGGTTTAGGGTTTAGGGTAAATCTTAAGCCTCAAACCCGACGTATGCGAGGTTCCGGCCAGAACTTGCTCTTAGTACCCTGGCAGTTGACACCTTCTAGTGTTTTTGCAGCTGCTCCATCTGATTGTTTTACGCTTTTTTTGGCAGTATGGGGTATATGTTTCAATATACAATATATTTATATATACATATACATATGTATGTATATATATATATATATATATATATATTATGTGAAATGTACTGATGTATCTTTATAAGAATGTACACACATGCTTAAACATAGAAGGTTAGATATGTATATATATCGATAAACAGATAGACAAGGCATGCAGATGGGCAGACAGATAGACAGATAGATAGATAGACAGGTAAAGAGATAGACAGTTATGTTGCGTGGCCTCTGACGACGGGAGCAGTGTCACATTCAAGGCTTGGGTTCTTGGAGCAGTGTCGGTTTAGGGTTTTAGGGTTTAGGGGTTTAGGGGTTTGGGGTTTAGGGGTTTAGGGTTTAGGGTTTAGGGGTTTAGGGTTTAGGGGTTTAGGGTTTAGGGGTTTAGGGTTTAGGGTTCGTAAAGCCTGGGCTGCAAAGTTGTTGAGTCACTCGTTCTGGATCTTACACTACAGAGTTGGGATTTCGCCGAAACTCTGAAAGACAGACCAAGCAGTTCCTGGCTTAGGTCTTAGGCTCTGTGGCTCAGACCCCTAAACCCTACACCAAACTTCTCAGAACGAGACCCGAGTCAATTTTCCGACAAGACAGCCCGCAACGCCGGGCCCTGTGACAGAGAGTCGCACTCAAGACCCAGACCCTAGCCTGTTTCTTTTGAGGTGTCTTTATATTGGCATATAAGACATGTGGGTATAGATGTATATACTTGCCCTATCATTGTCCAAAGCCCTGTTCCAGTCATGAAGGCCCCTTCTTTGACTTCAACTAGAGAAGGCGTCAGAGGAAACCTTAAGGTTCCAACCCCTGCCCATAGCCTCCAAAACCCCTTAATTAAGGAATATACCTTAAATTATAGTAGGATCCCTAATATGATTTAAGGTATATTCCTTAATTAAGGGGTTTTGGAGGCTCTGGGTGGTGTAACATGGATCCTTTGGCCGGTTTAGGGTTTATCTCCTGAAGCTGGCCAGGGCCCTCTATTCCGCAGCCGGCTGCCGAGATTCTTGCGCTCCATTGAGGAGAACCGGTTCGGTCAAATATTAGCGTTTTAATTTGTGGCTTAGGGTGTCAGTGTAGAGCTTAATCTTTTGGCTTTACTGCGGTGTTTGACATTGGCCAAGCAGCGCGAGACCACTACTGCATGGCTGCTTTATTGAGATTCAGGGCATCAATACAACCTTAGTTCGGTTGCCGTGACTGTTCCGTAAAAAGCATACAGACCTTTCAATACCTATAACACAGTAATTTTTGAATTTAGGTGATCACGACCTTTAGAGTATGCATGGTACTGCAGTCGTACTGCAGGGCTGGACGGTGTATTGGTGAGCCTTACTTCAGGCTAGTTGGCGTTTGTCTTGGCTGACGCAGACATCACACTCAGCCACCTAGATCCCAAGCCCCAAAACATCGAGGTATGAAGTAGAGCCCGTTCTTATCCTGGTGTCGGACATGTTGACAACTGGCCATGCAGTCTAGTGATAGGGTCCTGGGTTGCTGTAGACATACTTTGTTGATGCATCTGTCTTTGTCTAGTTGGCTTTCCAAACTGTGCAGAATGCCTATGTTCCTCCCAAGACTAACGCGGAGCCGTACTGTGCACTTCTGCGCACTTATCTGAAAACTTCTCTGGCAACAGACGCTCGGTTTTCGCATGTTTGCAAGCACTTGGCTTGAGAAGTGCACCTGAAACCCTGAGCCCTCAGCCCTGAACACCCCTAACTACACCCTAAAATCCACGACGGCCCTCAAGTTTATTCAGTTGTAAGCTGAAGACTTAAGCTGAAGACACAAAACCCATGGCCTCTTCGAGTTTCTTGAGCATAGAACCAGATCATAGCCAGAGCTGGATTAAAGGTGTAGGTTAGGTACGGCCCCCCATACAGTAAGAGTCTATAATAGAGCTACTATTGAGGTCCTACTATATCTATATTATGAATATTATTCAACTATTACTGAGTGGGGGCCGTACCCAAGGTTTAGACCCAATCCCTCACCCGCTCCCCGTCTCCGTTGTCATAATGTTGATGATAGAAATCCTGCAAGACCCATAATCAGAAATATACCATCATTCCCGTAGTCTAGGGTCCTTAAGGTAATGCAGGATTTATATCATCAACAGTAGTGCACTTTGGTCTTGCTTGCGATGCCTGTGGTGCTTGAAGCCCCCATAAACACTAAACCCAACAACCTAAACCTTGGGATCCCCAGGTGGGATTGAGGGCATAACTAATGCCCCCACAGCCATAGTTACTTCGCGAAACTCCGCAAGGAGTTACCTAAACCCTAAACGCTAAACCCTAAACCAGAGCCCTGGTCAGATAAAGGGGGCATTTATTCTGCGATAAACAGACGTGTGTATCCTCTGGTAGTCCTACTTGGCGGTTCATGGCTAGTTATAAGTAGGGGTTTTAAGCCTCTAATATGGGTTATAGCCATGGTAACCCTCGTTATAACTAAATAAGACACCGTATCCGAAGCCCGAGAGTTGAAGACTTCGGTGACCCGAAAGGACAGACACCAAGCTACAACTACCCAGAGCCTCCAAAATCAGATTAGGGATCCTATAGGTATATTCCTTAATTAAGGGGTTTTGGAGGCTCTGGGCATTGTATCCTTAGAGTCTGAATTAAAGTGTTAAGGCTTAGGCGCTTAGGGCGTTTAGGGTTTATAGGGTAAGTTCCTAAACCCATATGATGCGCGTAGGGTTTGTGGCAGGGGGCTTTGGGAAGAAGCCTGAGGTCTCCTTGCAAGTGTTGGTGACTGTATGTTGTGGACTTTTTTGTTTAAGGGGGTTTAGGGTTTAGGGTATGGTACCCTAAACCCCTAAACCCTAAACCCTAAACCCTAAACCCTAAACCCTAAACCCTAAACCCTAAACCCATACAGGCCCTGTCATGGTACTCCCTCAGCTGTCAATCTTATTCCTTGATCCTCAGTTTCGTGCTACAAGGTGCTGGGGTATTGGGCTTGAAATCTTGAGGTTTAGGGGACTTGACAATGGAAGGAGAGGTATCGCTGAAACTTAAAGAAGCCCTAAGCCCCAAAAGAAAGCTCTAAGCCCAAACCCTAAACCCTGACAACACAGTGCAGAAACCTAACAGAACCCATCTAAAATGCTCCCCCGAACCCTAAACCATTAAGCCACCCTAAACCCCTAAACCCTAACCCTACAACCCACCTGGAAGGAGAGCTACCGCTCTGATGTGCCCTACCACACGGCCGTCCATGCGTCGGATGCGATGATGACGATGGACCTCGTAGGGATCTGTCAGGGTTCGTCAGGGTGTGTGAGGTAGAGACCTTAGTCATTGGAATGGCCCTAAACCTGCCTGTACCCCAAGAGTATGTAAAATAGTGGCCTTTTATAGGTTTTGGGCCATTATTTTACCTACTTTTGGGTGTCTAGAGTCTAGGTAAACCCTAAACCTTAGGGTTCTTGGGTCCATTACAGTCTAACCATGGTGGGAGCCCTCAGAGTGATGTTGGGAATTGGTGGCTTCTACGGTTGATATAGATCCTGCATTACCTTAAGGGCCCTAAACTATGGGAATTATAGTATATTCCTTATTATGGGTAATGCAGGATTTGTATCATCAACAGTAGTACCCAGAGCTACCCTGTTGACAGGCTACTTATCAAGGAAGATTCTTGTAGACATGCACATAGCTGCCCTCAGCATGAGGTAGGGAGTCATCCGATTCAAAGTATAGAGCCCGGGGCTGGAAGTTGCGTTGTCTTTTGTATGTGCTTTCTATTTCTGCAGTTCACCCCGCAGGCTCAAACTTTCATATACCCAGGAGTTTCTCAGAGAGACGGGTGTTGATAAGCACTTGCTGAAGGGACTACGGTTTTGTGCTTGATGTTGCGGTGCGTTCGAGGGCCTTGGGTTCCAGTTTGCAGTGGGACGTCCGCTACCCCAAAGATGTTATGTTTCATATACTCCGGAACCTGGACAAATTATCCTAAGCCCTATAAGCCCTTTTTAAGTTCTAGTTCCACGAATAGGTGATATAGGGGCCTTGATAATTAGAATAGGGTTTTGGGGCCCATTATACCATATTTATAATACGGACCCCCCCAAGAAAACAAATAAATAGTATAGGTACTTATTTAGGCCCCCTTATAGTAGTGTATGTGGAGCCTTAGGGCGAGCACCCGACTCAGTATATAACCTTGAACCTTGAGTTGGTAGTAGGTTTCCCCTGTGGATCTCAGGAACTGCTATGTAAGAGAGCGTTTGGGTTTCCCCGAAACCCAAAACCCCAAAGCCATAGATCAAGATCCTAAACGAATCCGGCCTAGAACAAGAAAGATCTAACCCACCACTGCTTGGCTTGACCCAACGGTGCGACGCTCGTCGCGAAGCATGTTCATCACGAGCATCCTGAACAATACCACCACGGTCAACATTCATCATCACTGTCATCAAGAAGAGCAACACAACTTGGACCATGAAGGTACTGAGGTTTTTCAACTTCATCATCCATGACCTACTAGCAAATATAACCGACACTTGCAGCTACGTTGGCAAAGATCGTCTGCACATGTGCAGCACCTCTGGAGAAGTTGGTCGGCGCAAGGACGATCTGAAGTGTGCTTTGTGCACTGCCCACGAGCGTGAAGTCGGATGCCGCGGATTTGGCGACGTGTGCGCCTACCTAGACCCCGGTGTGCACGCGAATACGGTGGTTTCCCTGAAGCAACCGTCCTTTTTGACAGTACGTGCCTTCACACAGGCAATGGCTGGTTCGTGTACGCTAGCAGGGGCCACCTCGAATGCTGGAACAACTGTACTGGTGGGATGTGGCAAACTTGCCAGCAAGCACTCGCGGGTGACACGCCGACATTAGCAAAGACATCCGTGTGGCACTACGACCCGGGAGAGCTCAGGTTGTGCGAAGCATCTTATATAGCTTCGCTTCAGGAACTGTTTCGCAAATCGGGGCTGGGAATGGACTCTTCGGCTTACTCTGCGAACCTATTATGCGCACGATCCGGATGATGATGATGATGATGATGATGATGGTGATGGTGGTGATGGTGATGGTGATGATCATGACGAAGAGGATCAGGATGAGGATGAGGATGGTGATCATGTTCATGAAAAGCCTGACATGAGCCTGACTCCCTTAGTAGCACTGAATTCTTCAACAGTAGTCACAAGTAGAAGCCACTCTCGGTGAGATATATTCTATGATTGGGGTCGCAATAGACCAAGGAAGAAAATCGTTGCATGTTGATGTCCATTCTTTTGAGATGAACATCAAGACCACCAACATTAGACGACAAGGTTTCATTCTGATCACTAACTTCTGGGCGCGAAAAACCACCTGGTGTCCAAACTTTCAACAACGAGAAAATCAAACGCTGTAAACCACTGCGTTTCTGACAACATGAACTCTGAACAATGATAAGTCTGGGCATCGCACCGGGGGGCTGACCCCCCCCCCCCCCCCCAAAAAAAAAAAAACATATAACATCATATACCTAAACCCTCTAACTCTTAAACTAAAGCCACTTCTGCAGGAGTGGCTCCTCAGATCACAAAGCTTGGTGGGCCAGGCCATGGCCCCCGGGAAGCAGTGAACCATGGTGATTTAGGGTTCGTGGTTTAGGGTTTTGTGTAGGGGTTTAGGGTTTAGTTTTTAGGGCCAGTTCAGGGATGTAGGGGTTTAGGGTTTAGGATTTGGGGTTTAGGGTTGTAGGGTTTTAGGGTTTAGGGTTTTCGGGTTTAGGGTAGAGGGTTGTTAGGGTATAGGGTTTAGGGTATAGGGTTCATGGAGGTTCGAGGGGTGTAGGGTTCATGCAGGGAGGTTCGTTCTCCGGGATTTTGTATTAGGAGTTAATTGTACGGATTCTGTGGTCCATGTTATCCCAAAAATACATACTTTGGCCTTCCAGTAGCCCTCCCCTACGAGCTCCCTTAGAGGTATCTAGGGGGGCCAACGTGTATCACTACAGGACTCACGATTACAGATCCCTTTTAGCAACCAGCCTTTGCAAGGAACCCTATTCCCCTACGCTACTAATGAGGGTCTGAAATCTGCGCCTCCGTGCGAAGCCCCTAAACCACAGCCCCCAAACCCTTGCAGATTAGGGTCTGGGGGTGTTTGGCTGCTTGGCGTTCCTTGCTGAGGGCTCATTCGACCACAGAAAACCTTGAATTAAACCTGGACCTTATCCCTAAATCAGGCCCTAAAGCCCGAGATTAGACCCGTCACCCTCAGAACCCTAAACCCTAAACCCTAAACCCCTAAACCCCTAAACCCTAAACCGACTCAGCCACAAGCCCGAAGCCCCGACGCCGTTTCAAGAGCCTACTCCCCTCCACCCGCTGCTAGACCCCAAACCTCGCCACACGGAAACCCAAGCCCTTAACTCCTCAAGCCCAAATCCCTTTAAGCCCAAACCCCGAAAGCCCTAAAGCCCAACACGAAGAATAAACAAGAGCTCTCCGAGTACGACCAGGTCTCAGCCGTCGACCACCTCATGGTCCGATGCTGAGCAGCGAGCGTCCGGGGAATAAGCATTTCAGTTGTTTGTGTACCAAGCGTTTGAAGGCTTTGGGTTTCTTAGGTTTAGGGTTCAGTGGCTTTGGTGTTTAATTAGAATCTTGGGTTCGAAAAGGCTTCTTTAAGGATCTTATGAGGTTTCTACAATTTGCCCAAGGGTTTGTAAAAGCTGGTTCTAAAGACCTTAACCTACCAAAACCTACAAAAAAGTAGGGACCCTATAAATTCCATATTAGGGTTTATAATAAGAACCTACAAAATGGTAGGGTTTGGTAGGTGAAGGGAGTTCTAGAAAGGTTCCGCAGGGGTTGCCTTTAAGGGCTCCTTTGAGGCTACTTTGAAGGGTACCATTTGCGGGTTCCTTTCAGGGTTCGAAGAGGGTTATGTAACCTACGGTTGATGATGTAAATCCTGCATTACCTTAAGGGCCCTAAACTATGGGAACTATAGTATATTCCTTATTATGGGTAATGCAGGATTTATATCATCAACCGTATGTCTTAGGGTCCAAAGGAATCAATGATGAGGTACTTGGGGTACAGATAGTAGTCTTGTAGGTCAGATTGGAAAGCTCGGGCCCTAGCCGAAACACCACACCATTGCTGTGATTCAAGCTTTACTACTTCGATAGTGAACGGGGGAACTTTAAACTTTTGGCCTTATGTATTAGCTCTATCTTAGAAAGTTTGAACTTTTTGGGGGCCCGGCTGTTGAAGAAGAGACTATGTTTCATAGGGTCTTACAGTGTTCTATGTATTATTGGTCGAGTAGGGCGTTGGGCCGAAAGGCCACAAACAACGAATTTGTGTTGTCGGAATCAATAGCCCCACGGGTCCATGAGTCACTTTGAGTGTCTTTCACCCTAAAGTACCTGTATATAGAGACTACTTTAAGGCCTAAGTAAGTATATACCGTATTATGAGTATATGAACCCTTTACATCCTTAATCCTAGAGCACTTATGAGCCCTATAAGAAGCCTGAAAGGAACCTTCTTGAGAGGTTCCGTAGTCCATGGACCCTACAAGAACCCTGAACCCTAAGCCCTTAAAGGACCCCAAACCCTGAACCCTAAACCCCAAAAAGAACTCCAAACCCTGAACCCTAAACCCTTGCAGTTCCTTTCAGGGTTCCTTTCAGCTTTCCTCAATGCTTTCCTTTCGCCTGGTGAGCGCCTGAGGCCCTGATATCCATGGCGATCCATGACGTGGGCCATCCCGGCAGGTCTGCCGGGGTAGTTGCTTATTTTCGCCGGGGCTTCCAAACGCCCTTGCTTCCGGAATGTACAAGTACCATTCATCATATTAGGGATCCTACTCTAGTTTACGACATATTCCTCCTTGATTGGGGGATTTTGGAAGGTCTGTGGGTCCCTCCAGGGTTCAGGGTATCGGGTGTTTAGGGCTTAATGAAGGTGCAGCGTAAGGTTTAGAGTTCAGGGTTTGGGGTACCTTTGTCCTAGTTTAGGGCCCTAAATATCTACCAATACTATTTTGGCGATCTCTATCATAAACCTAGTCTAATGTACCCCCCAAATCCTCTTCTAGGCATTAAGGCCTCGGCCTTGGAGGTTCCTTTAGGGGGGCCTTTTTGGGGTGTTTGCGGGGGTTCAGGGCAGAAGGTTTAGGGTTTAGCGTCTAAGGGTTCAGGGCAGAGGGTGTGGTCTGTGATGAAGGCATAGTGTAGTGTTTTGGTGTCCTGCGGTTCGGGGTTTGAGCTTGGGTGGTTGGGGTTGTTTGGAGGGTTTTCTGGGTTTGGGATTTAGAGCTTTGAGGATTATATGGTTTTGCGGTCTAGGTCTGAGTTTGAGGGGTTGGACTTTGGATTTGAGGCTTCGCAGAGATTTGAGGCTTGACGCTGACACTGCCATGGCCAACCTTCTTGCATGGCCATAGTACTGTATCCTGAGCATAAGCTCTACTGCAGAGCTTATGGCCTCCTTTTTCGTTTTTGCCTGAACATAATGCAGAGCTTGTAGGAGCCCGCCTGATTATGTCCGTTCACTGTCAAGAGTCAAGTGCTAGAAGATGTTAAAGCTAAAAGCTCAGAGAAATCCCAAGCAAGGCTTTCAAATGTCACACTTTGCAACAAGGAACTTGCGTGTAAAATCTAGTCTTGTGTTTTTGGAGGCTCCAAAAGGTAGGATGAAGGTAGGTAGGATTTTGGATCCGCTATATACGGGCTTTTATATGCGATTACCACACCTGGCGTCATCCCGAGTTTTGCTTGAAGAGCTAAAGCACGGGTCTACAACACTTTCGAGGCATCGCTTGGGGGTTGAACCTTCTACCCATGTAGTACACACTTAGGCATTGAAGCGGTTCTTATGTAGGTAGTCTCAGGCCCAAGTATACATTATATCGGCGCATGGTACCTTACCCATAGGCCCCAAAGTAGTTCCTTTTGGGATTACCAAATAGGATTCTAAATATGAACCCCCAAAAAGGAACTCCATAAGGGCCTTAGGGTAGGGCTTGCGGTCCGAAAGAGTAAACAGCAAGTGCAGCAGCCTTGCGATGGGTGTTGTCGGATTAGAGGCTGAAATCAACTTTCTTCCTTACTTAAACGATCATGGGACTTAGTAACTAGGGTTCCTTAAAGGGCTCCTTTTAAGGGATCTATAGGGGCTCTATAAGAAGAGGGGTTTTAGGATCTACTTAAAGGATCATGGGACTTAGTAACTAGGGCTATTATTATTCGGGTAACCATACTTATAACCCCAATTAGGGTACTTATAACCTTTTTTACTAAGTCCCATGATCCTCCAAGTAGGGTTGCTTATCAGTGCAGACACCCCCAGAGCTTGAGCTGTGAGCCCTAAATTGTAGTATCCTTAAGGGAGGGGGATCCAAGGGGGGTATATAGCCTAGTGATCCCTAGTACTCCCTAAGGTTCCCTTACAGTCCCCTAAGGATTCCTTATACCCTCCCCCCTTGAACCACCCTCCCTTAAGGATCCTATAACTAAACCCTAAAGTCTCAGTCAAGCCCTGAAATCCAAGGTTAAAGGGAGGGACCCTTAACAAGGACCCCTAGGTATATACCCTTAATGTGCCGATTATATACCCATTATATAGCCCATTACAGGGTAGGGGTCCCCATTAAGGGTCCCTCCTTTTCCCCAGTGATGAAATGCAGGAACAACCTCTTCCATTCGAAGACGCTGAGTCCTCTCGCCATCACGTACAACGACAAAAGCATCCTCGAGCACTTCGGCTAGGGTTTTAGGGTTTAGTGTTTGGGGAGCTTTCGGTTTAGGGTTAGGGGGTTAGGGGCTTTGGGTCTAGGGGTTTAGGGGCTTTGGGTTTTGGGGTTTGGAGTTTAAGGTATAGGGTTTAGGTGGTTAAGGTTTAGGGACTAGGGGCGACCAGAACCCCAAGCCCTTATGGCCCTCAAAAGTGGGTACTTAAGGTATAGTGAGTGCTCAATATACCTAGAGTGCAGTTGGGGGGTCTGGGGTAGGGCTTAGGGACAATATAGAGGCTTTGGGCTTAGGCCTTTCGTAGGGCTTTGCATACGAGCTCAAACTACTTTCAGCATTGTTTGAAGAGTTTTGCAAGGTTTTGGCCTAAACAAAGGTTTACTGGTAGGCTCTACAGAAGAAGCCAGAAAGTTGGAATATCACTATCCTAACCCCTTTAAGGTAAATTATAGGGGATCCTACCATTATTCCATATTCCAACTTTCTGGCTTTTACCTTACGGTCTCATGGCTACAGGTCCTATCTTGCAAAGACCGTTGCTACAGAAGGCTTTGGGGTTATGTTGAGCCTTTGGGTTTAGGGCCCGAAGTCAACCGGTTTAGGGTTGAAGATTTAGGGTGATTTTGGTCAAAGATGCAATCGAGTTGTTTAGTGTATGGGACGACACTGAGCTGAGTTCTTGCTCAGGGTAAGGTCAGGTGTGGGGTCGAGCCGCGTTTGCAACTCGGAACCCGTCCTGGCCTACAACCCACAACACTCACCTAAAAGTCCTGCGTCGTAAGTCTTACAGCTTACTTTTTGTTGAAGTCGTGTTTGAACTCGGGATGTAGTGCCATTGGGCTACATGTAAGGTGTGGCTGGACGTAGAAGTTCAACCCCACAGTCGCAGTCTTCGGACTTTGTTGTTTGAGGGCTTCCTCATCCGGACCAGTGCCCAACCAAGCAGGATTTGGCAGTCGAACTATCAGGACATGCAATAAAGTAGGTTATGGTCCTAGTTGAGGGGAGGGTTTAGACCTACTCGCTTACACTAAGTCACGGGATTCGCTCGGTGCCCTGGGTCAAAAACAGCAAAGCCCGTTCTGGTTCGAGGTTTGGGGTTCGCGGTGTCAGGCTCCGGATCTCTACTTGGAGGATCATGGGACTTAGCAAGGGTTCTTAAAGGGCTCCTGAAAGCGATCTGTAGGGTTCCGTAAAGGGATCTATAGGGTTTGGGTTTAGGGTACTACTTGGAGGATCATGGGACTTAGCAAGTAAGGTTATAGGTACCCTAATTGGGGTTATAAGTATGGTTACCCTAATAATAACCCGAGTTGCCATGTCCCATGATCCTTTAAATAGGAGCTGTGTACGGGTGGGGCAGATCTTGTGATGCACATGACTTTCGTGTTTAGGGTCCTAGGTACTGTTATGGGGGGATACTTCCCTAAATCACAATTTCACTAGTAATTCCCAATATAGATACCCTACATTTAGGGTCCAAGCCGTCGCCTGGCATGCATCATCAACCAAGGAACTTTCACGTTGCGACTGCCTTCGAAATCATGCAGAAGGCTGGGTCGTGCAGCATGCACTACAGTAGAAGCCAGAAAGTTGGAACATCATTGGCCTCATGCCCTTAAGGTAAAGTATAAGGGATCCTAGCACTAATCCTCCTAAAGTCATGTTCCAACTTTCTGGCTTCTACTATATGCTGCGGCTGATGATTATCATGATGATGCGGATGTTGGTTCGTGGTGATGATGATGATGATGATGAGCATGATGATCATGGCCGATGCTTTGTGGTTCGGGCCGATGCGATAATGTCAATGAGTGGAGAGGAAGGTCGAGATTCGAATTCACTGTTGTCGGCAGGTCCCAGCGTGCAGAGAGTAATCAGCAGCTGCATGGTGTAGGTCTTGCAGGCATCAGGTGTTAGGGCACAGAATACGCACCGGTGAATCCCTTCATAGGCTTCAGTGTCTGGGCCTTTCACTCAAGGCTTTCCAGAGTCATGCTGTCTGGGTATGGTGTGAGCTCACGCTAATCAGTCGCCGCCAGTCATATCAAACCCCATACTCTGAGGTCCTGGCCCTACCTTGAGTATACAGCGGGTTCGGACTTTTCACATCACCCGTGTTCCTGTAGCCTTCCAGGCCCATGGATTGAGCTTCAGACTTCAAGGATTTGGCCTACATCCTCAGGAATCGGTGAGTATGTTCGTGTGTCGAAATCTTCCTTTGTTATCGCCGCACCTTTCGTGGTAGTTTCAGAACACGTACACCCTGGATGATAAAAAACACCGCTATCGGGGTTTAGATGAAAGCGTCTTTAAGTCAAGAACATTGCCTATTCCTTGTAAAACGATAAGAGTAAAAAAGAACGATAACCGAGATTTTTAGAATACGCAGTCCAATTGCCTGTAAAACGATAAGAGTGGCAAATGGCGCATGAAGTAGATCACACAGACCCCAAGTCCTGTAAAACGATAAAAGTAAAATAAAACGATAACCATGTTAAGGGTCATGTAAACGGATGGGGGTTATTCACGCACCCTCAGGTTTAAGAACACCTCAACCTGAAACCCTAGCTCCGCCCCTCCCCCCCTTCTCCCCCCTCCCTAAACCCTAAACCCCAAACCCTGAATCCCTAAACCCTGAATCCCTAAACTCCCCCAATCGGAGCCTCTGGAAGGACGCAGATATGAATTGGCTGGCGCTCCTCAGCCTCTTGGCATGACCGACAGGGGCTTCAGTAAGCTTAGGGTACCTAGAGGCTCCATACGGCTGCTGATTTAAATCCTGCATGACCCATAATAGGGAATATACCATAATTCCCATAGTTTCGAGTCCTTAAGGTAATGTGGGATTTATATCATCAACAGTAGCAGTTCCTTTTTGTGGTTCACGTTTAGAGTCCAAAAAGGAACTACCATTGAGCCTATGGGTAACATCCACAAACATCCAAATCCCTTGGAAGAGGCATCTCGTTTGCCCGAGCCCTAAACCCTAAGCCGATAATTTGGTTCTAAACCCCAAGGCCTATGTAAACCCTAAGCCGTTAGTGTGATTCAAGGTTGCATCAGGTTTCATAGGCGGAAAAATAGTTCTTGGGTCGAGAGACCCCCTCCAATAGACAGTTTAAGGGTTCCTTTGCCCGGAGAGCCCAATACCCCCAAATGAAGGAATGTACTTTCAATTATATGGGGGTTTATAATAGTATGTTCTAAGGATTTTAAGGTATATAGTCCTTAATGAAGGGGTATTGGGCTCTCTGGGTAGAAGTCCCTTCAGGATTCCTGTAAGGGCTGATGAATCCAAGGGTAAATGGAGGGACCCTTAATACGAACCCCTAGGTATATACCCATAATATAGGAATTATATACCCATTATATAGCCCATTATAGGGCAGGGGTCCCCATTAAGGGTCCCTCCTTTTCCCCTTTTTGTTTAGGCCAGAAACAGCAAGTCGTTTTAATGAAGCTGCCTTTGGGTCGAATGTGGGAACGTGATGAAGAAGCCTCGGGCCAAAGGGTTCCTTAAAAGGGGTCTATAAGGGTTACTATAGGGGGTCTATAAGGGATCTATAAAGGGTTTAGGGTTTAGGGTAGGAGCCTGATTAAGAAGCCTCCGGCCTGTATTAGGGCTCCTTCAAGGAATCCTATTTTGGGGTTATAATGCCAGTCAAGCAGTCTTTGGTCTAGAGAGCTCATATTTTGTTGCGAAGGTGGCTCTGCATCTGTGAATCTATCTCAGAAGTCTTCTGCGGCCTTAGGCCCCTAACGACATAGGCTGCCAGCTGGTGGCAGGAGATGAACAAACTCGCGTGGCGAGCTGGCGGACGGTTGGCTGGGGTTGGCTAATTGACTCATTGCGGTGGCTGGACTTCTTCAGTGCGATGATCCACTGCCGGCTGCACGCTTGAGCGACAGACTCTGGGAGCCGCAAAAATTGGCACAGGGAAGGGGGGTGCACTGAGACGCATTTTTCTTGTTCGAGTCAAATGCCGCGGGCTGAAAGCCAGGCATGGCCGTCGGGCAGGGGTTTGTGGCAAACCGCAAAGGCCGCAACAAAACAGGCCACCTGGGACTAGTCTGGCAGCCTGTCAGGCGACGAAGTAGGTTCCTGCCAAAGAAAAGCCTCTGTAATCAGTGGAAACGCATTTGGTTGTTCCACAGACGAGTTGTGGCATCGCTGCAAGCGTTCAGGATGCGGGTGGTACTGGACATTGCGATGCTTCCAGCATCACAGGCTTGAGGTCACAGGTATCTGCAGGTGGAGCGAGGCAAGTTTCTTGCAACTCATAAATTTTATTGGTTGTTGAAAGCCGTTTCGGAGTGTGCCCGCAAGCTAAGAGAGGATTGCGTGTGCACCGTGAGAAGCAGTGGTTCCTACAGGTTACAGCCTATATGGAAGATATGCAGACATTACGGACAGCATGTGCAATAGGTTCAGACAGTAGGTATGGTATGAGACGGCTGCATGATCGTACAAAAACCGATCGAATGTAGTGACTCGTATCACCTTGTTACAGAAGAGTTACCTTAAGACCTTAGGTTACCGAGCAATCCTTACTATGATTTTAGGTCTATTCCTCAGCTTAAGGTTATTGGGGTCTTGGACTTCGGGTTTCAGGGAACGCATCAGTAACAAGGTTCTTTGTAGGGTTTCTTTATGATGGTGCAGCATAAAGCCACCCGCAAACCCGTAACCTGGAAAGTTTAAAGCTCAGGGTTGAGAATATACTTTAAACTACCAAACCCTACTGTTTGCAGGCTCTTATTTCAAACCCAAATATCGAATTTAAGGGACCCTACAAAAAATTAGGTTTTCGTAGGTTAAGGTAGGTTTCGAGGGTCTGAGTTTTGGGGATGTGGAGCTTAGGAATTGAGGCATCAGGGTAAAGGGTTTGGGGCTGGGGAACTTTAAACTTTTTGGCCTTATGCATTCGAAGCTGCCCCCACCCTGTAATAGTGACTATACGGATTTTCTTAGGGCCCTATTATATTCATATTATACCACTATTACAGGGTGGGGGCCGCTTCTAACTTATGCATTAGCTCTACCTTAGAAAGTTTTAACTCTTTGGGGCCCGGCTGTTGAAGAAGAGAGATAAAGATTCTAAGGTGGTGGTGGGCTTGAGGGTCTAAAGGGCTTGGGGTGTTATCTCAATGTGTTTTTGAGGGCCCAAGGGCTTCCGGGGCAATTACAGGGTTTTCGGGTCTACTGTCGGGTGGGTCTTTAGGTTAATGTCGATCTTTGTCTTTTGGGTTGCTGGCGCGTTGAAGGTTCCTGTTTAGGGTTTGGGGAGTGGGAGAGTGCATCAGTGCATCCCTTTGTTGGCCCCCACATTGCATAATCCCGCTTTGACCCCCCAGGAAGGTTCTGGGTTCTGGGTTCAAAACTGTTCTAGACTTTTGCCTGTAGAAGGTTGGTCGCTGCGACAGGTATGAAAACCCCGAGCATCGCCAAGCGTTTCGCAGGAACCCTACTATAGGGGCCTTAATTATCAGAATAGAGTTTGGGGGTATACTATGTTTTGGCAATTGTAACGAGCCCCCAAAACCCTTTTCTAATTATTAAGCCCCCTGCATCCATGCCCGGCTTGTCCTGAGACCCTAAGCCCTTACCTTAGGCACGGACTATGTCCCTCCGGGGAAAGAGAAGCCCTCAAACCTGCAGCAGCAGATGCGAAGGCGCAAGGGTTTTTCCCAAGTTCAAGCCCGGAAGCAAATCCCAAAGCTTGAAGCCTGAATAATCAGAAAAGGCTTCCCCAGTGGTTTTTCTCCATGAGCCTATTATTTGTGTATGTTGTGTTTCATAGTAGCTATAAACTACAGAACCATGTGCGCCAGACCGCGTTCCAATCATTAAGACCCTGTGTTCAACCACCGAAGGCCCCAGCTTCAGTCTAATCCCCAAAACGCACACGGACCTTTTGATGCAGCTGCACACTCATAGTTTGTCTGGCAGTGTTATGCAGCAGGCTGTTCTTGCTCTGGCTTATTCTAGTTCTTGTCCGGACACACACACACACACCCACACACACACACACACGTCTCCAAATCCCTGCACCTTGCGCGTTCAATCTGAAATCCAAGCACTCTCACGTGGCGGTGCTCCGGATTGGAATGTGTAACAGGTCATTTGCTGTACCGATAAAACTCAGCCTGCAGCAGCACAACCGCGTAATACAGGGGCCTCGATAGCTACCTATACTATTTTGGGGGTTCCTTATTTACGATAGTTATGGTAAACTGGCCCATCTCCCTATTCTTGTTTTTAAGGCCTCTATAGCAACAAACAACCTGCTAGATTCAATCCACACCCTCCACACCCTATACCCTAATCCCTGTACCCCGCAGTGGCAGGGGAATGATCGAAATCGTGCTGGGCACAGACATGGCGAAGCACAACCAGCATCAGAAGAGCTTGATGAGCTGGGTGGTGGGGAGCCCGGAGACGCTTGTGAGTCCCAGGGTATCATAGACTATAATTAGATGCAATGCAAAACCTATCACTTGTCAGGAACACTCGACTATATTAGTTTTTCCGGCTGCCATAGTATATCCAAGATACTAGACTTTTTGGAAACTGATGCGGTGCAGTACATTGTTACACGGTTATGATTTCCTGACCTGCGGTTATCCAAGGCCCTGAAATCTCCCAATTGTTTTTTGTTACAGTAAACCCCATAAAGTTGGAAACCGGATTAAGGCCAAATAGTGCTGGGATTCCCTATACATAGCTCTTAGGGATTGAGGCTACGGGGGTTTCCAACTTTTGGGCCCTAAACCCTAAACCCTAAACCCTAAACCCTAAACACTAATACTGTGACAGAGTTCAGGGTTTAGGGTCTAACTCCTTCGCGATTCGCTGCGAAATATTGAGCCTTCGGAGCGATCCCGTGATTGTGACGGGAAGAAGCAGAAGCACTTCTTCTGGATTTCGTTTTGAATTCATGATAATTCTTGTTCTTATTCCTATTTTCAGAAGAATTACTCTTGTTGTTATAACAGCAAGAGTAATTCTTCTGGTAATAGGAATAAGAACAAGAACAACAATAATGCTTGACAATAGAGCTGAGGTGAGGATGCAACGTTTCCAAGCTCCGAAACATCTTAGCCTCAGGCTTCTTCGGGTCTATGCTCGAAAGTTGTGGGGCCCTTAACCTCACAACCCCTCATGTGCGCTCAGACACCTCGGGAAGATTGGCAAGCCATCCGCTTTGGGATTTAAGGCAAAAGCCAGAAAGTTGGAATATGATTATCCTAACCCTTCTATGGTAAGTTATAGGGTATCCTACCATGGAGTTCCCTGTAGGGTCATGGCAAGCGGGACTCGGAGTAAGACGAAATGCACTGGTTTCAGATGTCGAGCCTACTTGCTTCTGTTCAGGGTTTAGGGTTTAGGGTCTAGTATTCCCCCCTTGGCCCTCTAAGTAGGACTCCATCAAACCCCATGTATGACCCGTCAAGGTGCAATTATGGCCATGCTAAAGATCCTACTGTATACTTGTTGAGGCAAACAAGCCGACGCCCGAAACTCCGGCAGGGGAGCAGGCAGGTGGTCTTCTTGCAGCCTTTTCTTTCATCATGGGGAGGTTGTCGGCTTTGAAAGCTGCATTTTTCTAATGTGTCTTGCATAGAGCTGTTTGAAGCAGATGGCCAAAGAGCAGAACGAGTTCAATTTGGGTTTTGAGATCGCCCCGGAAAGATAATTGCAAATACGATTTGACATACAAATATACACAAAACCTTAAACTTGTACACCAGTTATATGATTCGGCTTTAGATTTTTCTGGTTTATGCTTTGGGCTGGTTTAGAACTCCTTTAAGAGAGCCGGGCTTCGGCTGCTATCAGCACGCCGGAGGTTCAGGTTTGTCGTTTAAGGCCTTCGGTTTGCCGTTTGGTGTTCAGGGCTTAGGGGTTAGAGCTCTGGATTTAGGGTTTCTGCTTCGGGGTTTAGAGCTTAGGGAGCCTGCACGCTATAGCCCGAATCCAAGGCCATAAAGCCTACACTGCCTACACCTTGTCCCCGAAGCCTACATGGTAAACCTTGCACCATCTTGCACCCAACGCCTCCGTGACTTAATCCTAAATTTATGTAGAAGCCCCAAGACTCTAATCCCAAACAACCCTCAGACAAACCCCAAACCCCAAGCCCCAAAACCTAACCCCTAAACCTCAAATCTTCGTAACTGGGTTCCTGGGTACTACCCTCTTGCTCTTGTATGTTACGGTCCCCATATTAAAAACCTAATAGTAAAGCAGGAAAAACGGTACCCTTGTTATAAAGGTGAAACACAGGACCCTCTTCGTATTATCGAAGCCTAAATACACCAACATTATTCCTTAGGGATCCTTATTTATAGCTATACTATGAGGGAGGCCAAAACCCTAGTCGAATTACTAAGGCCCCTACATTATGTGGACCCTCTTCGAAAGCCTCTGAGACCTTAAACCCTGTAATCCCTAAACCCCAAACCATTATGAGGATGGTCTTTACAGGCATATATGATTCCAAGATAGTAGTGTATATGGACCCAAGAAGGAGAAGCCACCTCAAAGCCCCCCTCTGAAGCGCCCTTTGAGTTCCCCCTTTAAAGCCCTTCGCAAGCCCTCCCAGGCCTTCCCTAATTTGGGTTATAAAGTACTTAAAATTATAGTCAGCTTAACCATCACCCTAGTTACTAAGTCCCACGATCCTTTAAGTATGCAGCCTCTTCATAAGCCTCTGAGGCCTTCACCAAAAGCCCCAATCCCTCATCTTTGCAACCCCCCAGATAAACCTTAATCCCTAAACCCCTCTGCGAAACCCTCCCAGGCCTTCCTCCACAGACCCTAAACCCTAAACCGCTACAAACCCTAAACCCTTAAGCCCCCCTAAACCCCTTAACCCCTCTGCGAAACCCTCCCAGGCCTTCCTCCAGGATAAGTTGGAGCTTCTGGAAGTCTTGGCGCACGCGGCCGACATCTCGAACCCGTGCAAGCCAGACCCTGGGTTTTTAGGGTTTAACGGCTTAGGGCTTAGGGTTTAGAGGCTTTAGGATTTGTAGGGTTCAGGGGTTTAGGGTTTAGAGGCTTCAGGCTTTAGGGTTTAGGGACCAGGGGCTACCAGAACCCTGCAAGTACCTTTAACAGAGCCCTCATGGTCCTTAAAAGTGGGTACTTAAGGTACAAATCTCAGAATCATCAGAAGGTAGTTGGGTGGTCTAGGGGTGGTTCAGGGTTGAGGGCTTCTTTTTTCATATACTGCTTGTGGTTTACGGTGTTTAGCTGAGTTACGTGTTTTTCCTGATGTTAAACTTATTGGTTCCTGGGCTTGAGTTCACTTAGATAGCCAGAGGGGAGAACTGTAGACTTGTTGGCCTTCCATGTTTGGTTTATCTTTCAAAGGTTGAACTTTGTTGGGCCATTTTGTGGAAGCAGAAAGTTTAGAGCGCCATATAGCACCCACATAGTAGTGCCCCGTACTGAGCCCTGTAAGACACCCTTGAAAGACAACCCCACGGCTGAGGCCACATCATATGATGTTGTTCTGGGCCGAGCGGGCACTGAGCTCGGTGCAGGTTTTCTCGAGCTTGAGGTTCGAGGATGGCCAGTGGATGCCGCCTTGTACCTTCAAAATAGGGGTAGATGGTCCTAAATAAGGGGCATTTAGTGTCTATAATAGAGGGTAGATGGAGGGTCTAGGTTCTTTTGTAATTTCAACCCCTTGTAGTCCCTGAACATATCCAAATATGTTACAAGACGTACATGTGCACACATAGAGCGAGAGAGAGAGAGAGAGAGAGAGAGAGAGAGAGAGAGTTAATCAATTAACTAAGCATAGTTGGTTAAGTTCAAAAACAGCAATATAATCATCAGACCCCGACATTGCCAGAAGCCAAACAGACCCACTCTTGTTCGGCTGCCTTCGAACGATTTCCTCATGTAATATGGGGAGCCTGGATAATTACATTTACTTTGTTGGGGGTTTCTTATTCTGGCCTTAGTATAATATACCCCAAAACCCTATTCCAACCATTAAGGTCCCTAAAGTATTCTTTTACGAAGGTGAAGGACTCTTCGGCGGCAGGTAGCAGGCTTCAGGAGTTCGAGTTTTGTAGCGCATGCTTCAAGTGGTTTGGATTGTTTCATCCAAGCGCATCGGTTGAGTCTTCACGGGCGGAGGCTCAATAGCACAGCGTATGTGACATGCGGCACAGGAAGACCCCGGCGGTGCAGGAAGCGGATCACGACGAAAGTTTCACACCGTCGTGTACCCCACAAACCCGCAGCCCAAGATCTGAAACATCTTAGACCTGGAGCCTAAATATTCGAACCCGTTAGCCTAACTGCGAAGCCCACTATATAGGCCAGCAGCCGAAGTTCCAGTCTCTAAGCTCATCAGTAACCTGTTCCTACAAGGATGTAGGACCCAAGCATCTAGGCCGAGTTAGGCATGAGATCCAGGGATGTGAATCTTAGGCGTACTTAGAAAATGTTTTAATTTTTGGTTATTATAATCCCTAAGAAACAGCTGAAATTGTACTTTTGCTAGGGTTCTAAGTTCAGTATAGGAATGTCCTGCAATGAATCAGCGGATGCAGCCTCTATGGGTTGTTCTGCGCTTCGGGGTTTATACCGTACCTTTCTCGCTCTCTATTTCTCTCTTTGTGTGTCTTTTTGTCAATGGCATTCTGTCATCTACCTGAACAGACCTCTTCTGAGAACACCGGCTTCGACCTCTGCATGCGAATCCGAAACCTCCCTGTGCGTTTGGGCACATAACCGGCGGATGGGGCGAGTTGCTTTCACCCCGACCGAACCCGACAGAACTTCGCGCCCTCAACCCTGCGCATGCAAAATCAATATGGGTGGTTGTCAACATCATGGGTCCCTTTTTGGGTACCTTAAAGAATAGGTGCCTTAGTACAATAGGGACCCAAAAAGAGACCATAGTTTTGACAACCACCCATGTTATGCATGCACACATGATATGTATTTCTCGTAGATGATGCGCAGAAAGGCAGAGGAACACTACATTGAAGCCCCAGCGCAAATCGACTACAAAAGCCCGGAGGTTCAAACACACGACGAGGAGCCCGACCTAAGAACCCTTAACCCTAAACCCCTAAACCCTAAACTACTAAACCCTAAACCCCTAAACCCTATAAGCCTAAGAACCCTAAACTACTAAACCCTAAACCCTAAGCCTAAGAACCCTTAACCCTAAACCCCTAAACCCTAAACTACTAAACCCTAAACCCCTAAACCCTATAAGCCTAAGAACCCTAAACTACTAAACCCTAAACCCTAAGAACCCTCAAAAGTTCAGCCCTGAGCTCTAAACCTCAGGCCCGAACCCTAAACCCTCCCCCAAAGGCTCCATGTACCAGTATAGTAGACGGTTTAGGGTTTAGGATTTAGGGTTTAGGGTTTAGGGTTTAGGGTTTAGGATTTAGGGTTTAGGGTTTAGGGTTTAGGGTAGATACTTAAGCCCTAAACGGGTCCCTACTATACAGGTACTTTAAGGCCTAAGTTAGGGTCCACGCCCAGTCCAGCGGGAGCGTGGCCTATTCCTAGCCTTGTTGACCTCATCCGTGGTTAGGGTTTAGTGTTTAGGGCTTTTTGGGGTTAGGGTTTAGGGTTTAGGGGTTATTGCCAGTACTGCTTGTTAGGGCATCTTTATTCCGAGTGGTCGATAACGTACTCTAAAACCCTATTCTGTTGAAACATGTTATCCTAAAGCCCTGTTCAGCCTTACCTAGACCCAAAAGTAGGTAAAATAATGCCCCCCAAACCTGTAAAGGCAATTATTCTACATACTTTTGGGGTTCAGCCTTAGTTCGATTATTAAGGCCGCTACATTAATTCAACTGCCGCCGAGGTCCTTTCGGAGTTCTGGTTGCAGGGCGACGAGGAAAGCCGTTTGAACTTGGAGGCGCGCTTAATGACCCCTGAGCGGCTAGTCGGTTTTGGGTGTAGGGTTTAGACTAGAGTTGATTGCTCCCAATCCCCCAAACCCCAAAAAGCGATCCCACGTCCCAAGTATATAGTATCATACAACGTAGCTCCCCAAACCGTATTCGAATGATCAAGGCCCATATTTTTGGCGGGTTTGGATGGGCTGCAGACAACGCTTCGGCCATCCGACCCTTAAACCCTCAACCCTTATAGGAATCCGTACAAGATCCCTTAAAGGATCCCTTAAGGCATCCCTTAAAGGAACCCCGAATTGGCAGCTGGGCCAAAGGATCCTCCCCTTCGGAGCTTAAGCTGAGGTCGAAGTCTCGGCGCTCGGCTCACAAATCCTGAAAGCCAGACCCTAAACGTACAGTAGAGCCAAGCCCTAAACCCTGAACCATAAACACTAAACTCCCCAAACCCTAAACCCTAAACCCTGAACCCCATGCCCTAAACCCTCAAACCCTAAACCCTGAACCCTACAGTAGAAGCCCAAAAGTTGGAAACCCCGTAGCCTCAATCGTATAAGAGCAATGCATAGCGAATCCCAGCACTATTTGACCTTAATCCGGTTTGAAACTTTGTGTAGAGTTGTCCTGCCAAGCAGAAGTATGTCTGGGGGTAGGTAGGTTAGGGATGGGTCAGGGCATATGTTTCGCTCACCAGTTCCGCTCTAGTTAGCCGCCTCGAAATGCAACACGTCCAACCCCCAAAGCCCTAAAACTCTAAGCCACAACCCCATGTAATCAATCACTTAGAAGCTGCCCCCACCCTGTAATACTGGTATAATAGGAATATAATAGGGCCCTAATATAATCCTTATAGTCACTATTACAGGGTGGGGGCAGCTTCTAATCAATCACCCCCAGAACCCCAGCCGAGACCCTAGACTTCGCACCTGACATTTCTCCTGTGACCTCTTTTTTTCTGGCGTTTTTCCCACAGTCCACCACTATGGCATCTAGTGCGCAATCAAAAGACCATGCGAGGTGGGAAAACACCCGAAAGATGGCGACGATTCTGTCTGACCAAGCCCTCGCAAAGGCTCCATGTACTCATATAATTATAGTATATACATAAGCCTTAAAGTATTCCCCATATCAGTACTTTAGGGCCAATTTACTACATGGCTACATGGAGCCCTTGGGAAAGGCTCACGCGGCAAAGTACGTCAGAGAGGTGATGAAGAAGCCGGAGACGGCTGGCCCCACCAACCTGGAGAAACAACTTCGAGGCATGTCCCAAGAGGACCTCTGCGACCTCGCGAGTTTTTTGTTGACACCACGCATGGGAAGGCACTCGACCTCCCACGGAATGAAGAAGACGATACATTCCGCGCCATGGTTAGCCGGCGTGAATAGACAAGCGTTGGTAACAAGCCTCAAGGACATGCCAGAGTCCCGCAATTAACCTCTTCGAAGGACTGATCCTGCATTGAAAAACCTCCAATCACAAGAGTACCTGTACTTGATAGTGGCCATAGCCCCGCAACCTGCGACATAATTGAGTAGCTGAACTCTTGTCCTCAACCACGTACTTCACTTGTTAAGCTTTGCAGCCTGAAATTCATCTCCAAATCCCCAAAAGTTTAAAGCCCTAAGCTAAGTGCTCAATCCCAAATCTTCTTCTTCACTTCACTGCTTCACGGTTCTAGTCCTCTGCAAAACATAGGAGCTAAGTGCTCAAGCCCAAGTCCCAAATTCCTAAGGCCGAACCCTTAAGGCCCTAAAGTCCTAATATGGGAGCCTTAATAGTTACCTACACTGTTTTTGGGGGGCTCCTTGTTATAAGTAGAATATAACGGGCCCCAAAACCTTATTCTAACTGTTAGGGGCATATATACTAAACCCCCATAATACCACGTAGTGTAATCTTGTAGACCCCTTTAAAAGGAACCCTTTAAGGAACCCTATTCTAGTTATTAAGGCCCCTACAGTCCTAGCAGCTTGCCGTCGACCAGTTCAGCCCCATGTGCGAGCGGGCAGTGGGGGAGAGCTCAGTGCCGAAGCAGCAGATCGGCGCGGGCCCCTGCTTTGGGATTACCTAGGGTTTAGGGTTGAGGGTTTAGGGTTTTGGGTTACCTAGAGGCTGCATACTTAAAGGATCATGGGACTTAGTAACTAGGGTTCCTTAAAGGACTCCATTTAAGGGATCTATAGGGACTCTATTATAACAGGGGTTTTAGGATCTACTTAAAGGGTCATGGGACTTAGTAACTATATAGGGTTATTTTTAGGGTTACCATACTTTTTGCGTACTTATAACCTGACTTACTAAGTGCCATGATCCTCCAAGTAGTAGTTTCTTTTTGTTGTCTCATGTTCAGAGCCCTATGAGGTAATCCCAAAAGGAACTACTATGGAGCCTATGGGTAAGGCGGTTTGGGGTTTAGTGGCTACTAACCACCAACATCGCAAGTCTATATCCCCGTAAAGGTTGAAAGACCTTCAGCCTCAAACTTACACTCGCACTGCCCAAGTATTCTCGTGAACCTCACATAGATATTCGGGTGAGCCTACCCGCGAGCGAGACTCCTTCAAAGGCTACGGCACTAACCATATACACCCTGGTAACACTCAACAAGGTGACAAAAGACAACAAGTCCCAAACTCTAACCCGAAGGGTCCAATTTACCTATATAGTAGACTGTAATTAAAGGGTTTCTATATTAGGAATTACTACATCTATGATTTGGCGAAGTATCCCCACAAGAGTACCTAGGACCCTTTGGGAAACTCTAGGCCTCTGCCCCTTTCCCCGTTCCTCAACCCTTCCTTGCCCATGCACGCGAAAACCATGCGGGGCGGTCGCTCTGAGGCGCTGGTAGAGCTGACTTTGAGAGGCAAAAACGAAGCAAACAAGGCGAGTGTTGCTGTTTTTCATGAATTTCGAAGGTACTGCGATACTCTAAACAGCCTTGATTCCTGAACATCCACCCTCTCTGCGAACATCCACCCTCTTCGCTGAGAAGGTCAGACTGTCATATGGGAGTTTCCGAAAATAGTGGACCCTAATATAGTACCCCAAATAGTAGGATCCTTATTATAAGGACCCCAAAATACGGTACCCCTGATTTCGGAAACTCCCATATAGAGGTACACAGCCTTGCAGGCCAAGGGCATGGTGGGTGCTTAAAGGATCATGGGACATAGTAACTAGGGTTATTATTAGGGTAACTATACTTATAACCCCAATTAGGGTATATACTTATAACCTGACTTACTAAGTCCCATGATCCTCCAAGTGGAGCAGGAGGAGAAGACAAGAAGGCTTGGAGGTGAAAGACACCTTGGACAAGCCCTAAGGGTCCATGTCCCTAATCCAAAAGTACATATAGGATCCTAGAATAAAAACGGAGGTCATGATAGCTTATATGTTGCCCTAAGGGTCCATGTACCCAATCAAAGCGTATATACTTTGGCCCCAAAGTACCTATACAGGGACAGCTTTAAGGCCAATGTACACACTATTTGCAGACATGGACCCTTAGCAAGTTGCAGCGGGACAGCGGAAGCATGGCAACGTAGATCCTCTCCGTGGAAAGTGGGTTCTGTTCCTGAGGCTGTTAATATTGTTATGATTATGCGTTTAGCCCAGACGCCTGGTCTGATTCCCTCAGCCTTAAACCGAAAACCCTAAGCCGCCTATTCCTTAAATCCTAAACTGAATGCCCCTACAGTGGTTCCACTGTAAATGAGGGTTTTTCGGTTTAGGGGTTTCGGGTTATATCGGTCGCCAGTCTGATACTGGAAACCCCGACGACAACCCGAAAAGGATTGAAGCGAGTAGTGGCAAACTGCATCTCGGTCACAAGTCACAACAATCTAGACCACCAAAACCTTGAATCCAAGTCTGAAGACTCATATACAACCCCTTAGCGAACGGGGAATCTTTTTGGCTTTTTGGCCTTATGTATTAGCTCTATCTTAGAAAGTTTGAACTTTCTGGGGCCCGGCTGTTGAAGAAGAGAGACCCTAAACCCCAAATGGGACTCCAATGCCCGAAAGAACCGTACCAAGGCTTCCTCAACTTTGTGATCGCGCCCTTCTATCAGCCTCTTGCAGAGCTTCTTCCCGAGGCCACGTGGCTTGTATATTCAGGGTTTGGGGTTTTGGGGTTTCGGGTTCAGGATATCGATTTTGGTCTTCACGGTTCAGGGTTTGGGATTGAAGGTTTGTTCTATAAGCCCGACAGACCCCAAGCCTTTGTCATAGTTGGGTAACATCTTAAATTTTTATGGGTACTTAAACCCAATAAGGAATAAGAATGTACAGTTTTGTTCCTATCCCAACAATGACCCTAAGGGTCCATGTACCCATATAGAGATACATGTGCCCCAAAGTACCTATATAGGAACTACATTAAGGCCAATGTATATGCTATATGAGTACATGGACCCTTAGGGTGATCTAGAAGCCCCAACACCGTAACACGTTGCTTCGAACCGTCGTTGCTTGGCCGTCGCCCAGGGTCAGCCTTGACAGGCCTTTCGCGCATCTTCGTGAGCCCCCAACATTCGAGGCTTTGGGGCCCAAAGGCTGTGCCATGTAGGTGGTTGTGAGAATGAGGGTCCCTTTTTGGGTATAGTAGATGCCGTTTTTTAGTAAGGACCCAAAAAGGGACCCTAATATTGATATCCACCCATGTAATGCTTTTGGGACATTTTCAGCAGCAAACGAAGCCCTTCGCCCTGAACACCCAAACCCGGAATCCCAAAACCTCTTAAAACCCTATTTGGGCACATGGACCCTTAGGGTAGGATCCTAAATATGAACTTATTACAAGGAACCACAACGGAGCCTATGGACACAGGCAAAGGCGTCTACCCTAGCTCATGGTAGGAAGCCCCGAGACAGGAAGCCGCAAAGATTTTGCGGTGGAATCTTATTTAAGGGCTGATGTGGGCTCTCTGGGGCAGTGTAGAGGACCCCAGAACATGGGTCTGAATGACTCGTAATGCATTCTCCACCGTATAATAGTAATAGCCATACTATACGCCTAACCCTAAACCCCTAAACCCTAACCCAAAACCCCTAAACCCTGGACTCAAAACTCTAAACCTTCTTCTAAACATACAGCGGCCCCTGCGGTAAGTCCGCAGGGTTAGTGTCTGAAGGTCCAAGAGGCCGTAGACCACATGACCGAAAACCGCGCCTTCTGGCAGAAGAAGGAGACAGAACAGGCCGGGTGATGGGGGTTTTAGGGTTTAGAACTTTTAAGAAGGGGTCCATATTCATTACTGTAAGGGGTATTTTTGGGGGCTTAGTGGAGGTTTAGGGTTTAGGACAGAACACGCCGGGTGACGGGGGTCCAGGGTTTAAGATGTAGCAGGTGGGGTGATGGGGGTTCAGGGGTTCAGATTTGCTGGAGGTCCAGAGCTTGAGTTGATCTGCAAGGTTTGGGAGATCGGCTTTTTGGGTACATCTTGGAAGAAGCTCGAGTGGGAGGTAGGACTGAGAGGTTCAGGGGCATGGACTTCCGACGGCGGAGTTTGGACTGTCGGGTCCAGGACCACTGTATAAAATAGTGGCCCAATACCCATAAAAGGCCATTATTCTACATACTTTGAGGGTGCAGGTAGTGGCTCGCTTTAGCTTAAGTTGGATGCGAGGGCCGGGGACATCTCAGAGGTTTCACGCCGGAGTTGTGGTCGCTTCGATCTGCGTTGATCTGACTTGGTGCTGGGGCTTCCAGCCTGATACTTAAAGGGTCATGGCTTAGTAACTGGTGTTGTTATTAGGGTATCTATAACCCCAATTTGGGTACTTATAACCTTACTTGCTAAGTCCCATGATCCTGCAAGTAAGTTACCGTAGGAAAAGGAGCATTATGGGAACTTCACAGCCCCGTTCTGCTAACTACAATGCGGCTCTTTCACAGGCCCCCGGGTGCGGATCGACTAATACTGCGGTCCCGAGACTCCGCCAAGGACCTAGAAATCACATACTCCACCAAGCACTAGTCCAGAGTTGCTACTGCACAAACCGAACTACCTAGTAACTGGTAACAGCCTAATTCTGGCTGCGTTTGACCGTTGCACCCTCGCACCCATGCAAGTCCCGTTTGAAACCCTTTCAACGCCTTCGATAACCATTTAAAGCTGCGTGAGATCATGGGGAACCCTTCAACACCTGTAGAAGCAACCTGAATGCCATTGTCATCTTATTTCAAATCCTTCACAATACACCACGGATCGACAACCGTTGTCAAAAGAGTCCGCAAACCAGCGGTGTTAGATCTTGGCTACCCTAAACCCTGAACCAAAACCCTAAACCCAAAACCCTAAACTCAAAACCCTAAACCCTAAACCACAACCCTAAACCCAACACCCTAAACCCAAAACCCAAACCCAAAACCCTAAACCCAAAACCCTAAACCCAAAACCCTAAACCCAAAGCCCTAAACCAAAACCCTAAACCCGAAACCCAAAACCCTAAACCCAAAACCCCAAACCCTAAACCCAAAACCCCAAACCCAAAACCCGAAACCCCAAACCCCAAACCCTAAACCCTAAACCCGAAACCCAAACCCCTAAGCCCTAAACCCGAAACCCAAAACCCTAAGCCCTAAACCCTTTTTTTCAAAAAAACACTAAACTCTAAACCCAAACCCCTAAACCCTAAACGCTTAAAAAAAAACCTAAACCCTAAACCCTAAAACCTTTTTTTTCAAAAAAAACCCTAAACCCTAAACCGCTGGGACCCGGAAGCTGCCGCAAGGCCTCGGTCACGGACCTCTTTGGTCCAAGGGGAGAGGCCTAGAATGCCCCAAAGGGTCCGAACGGTATAAATCCCTAGGGTTCCTTTAGAGGGATCTATAGGGGTACCTTTAAGGAGTTCCCTTTAAGGGATCTATAGGGTTTTGGGGTTTAGGGTTTAGGGTGATGATATAGATCCTGCACTACCTTAAGGACCCTAAACTATGGGAATTATGGTATATTCCTTATGATGGGTAATGCAGGATTTATATCATCAACCGAAGTACCTTTTTAGTAGAATGGAGGGTTTCTATAAGGATACTATTAGGGTGTAGGGTTTAAGGGTCCCAAGTACCTGTGTAGTAGAATGTAGGGTTTCTATATTAGGAATTACTGGTATGATTTGGGGAAGTATCCCTTATAATCTTAGATAGTGAACGGGGAACGTTAGACTTTTTAACCTTATGTATTAGCTCCATCTTAGAAAGTTTGAACTTTTTGGGGCCCGGCTGTTGAAGAACAGAATAATCGTACCTAGGACCCTTCGGGTGTCCTTTGAATGCCGACCCCATCGGCTGGGAATTTGACCAACGGGTCCTCGAAGAAGCTCTCCCGAAATCTCCCAGCTTTGTAATTTAGGTGTTAGGGTTGCGGATTAGGGTTCAGAGCTTAGGTTTTAGGGTTTAGGGTTCAGGAGGTTACAGTTTAGGGTTTAGGGTTTAATTTAGTAGGTTTTAGGGTTTAGGGTTTAGGAGTTTAGGGTAGGTAGGCTTGTGGGGCATTTTATATTCTCACATATTGGGCGCAAGAGGCTCATTGACGATTGTTTTGCGGATGCTTTCAGTGGCCAGCCCAGTAATGCAAAAGCTGTTATAATGGCTGAGGCTTTTCAATAGGGTTTCTTGTTACAGCCGTGCTATAGTTTGCGCCACAACCCTATTCTATGTACTGTGGCCCGTACGTTACGGGGTTCACATAAGCTTCAAGACGGGGTCTATGAGATGTTATAATACGTGGAGTTCTTTCAGACTGTTCCCAGTATCCGTAAGGGTCCATGTACCTAAAGAGTATTTTTCTTTGGCCCCAAAGTACCTATATGGGGACTACCTTGAGCCCATAATATATACTGTTTGGGTACATGGACCCTCAGGGTGTGTTTGGTCGGTAAGTGGTGGTTTACATGGCTCCCAATCAGAATGACTCTGAAACCCCAAGCTCTACAGGAATCCCTGAAAGGACGCTGAACCCTAAACCCTGATCTAGGCTCTGCCTATTTTTGGGATTACTTTATAGGACACTACATATGAACCACGAAAAGGAACTACAATGGAGCCCATGGGTAGACACGGAACCTTCAAAGAGCACCAGACACGCAGCCTACGGACCCCAAGCTCTAAGCCAGCACGGGACCCTAAACCAAATACTACATAGGAGTCGGAATCATTAAATAGCCCTAGATTTCCTATATACATGTATACATGTAGTATCATGTAATCACTCCCAACAACACATTCCTATGTTTAAAGCCTGTATTTTCGAAACCCATGTTAAACCCCTTCAGACCCCTATATGTGCCCGCGCTCCGCGTTCTCGACCCCCCCCCCCCCCCAATGGTATCCCCCCCCCCCCCGACCCGGGCGACCACACAACAAGAACAAGAACAAGAACAAGAAGAAGAACAGCAGCAACAACAAAGCAGCAGCAACCACGCGGAGGAACCACAGGAACCACAGGGGGGGAGGGGGGAGACAGGAACCAGAAGAACCACAAAAGGGAGGGGGAAAACCAAGAGGAACCACAGGGGGGGGGGGGAACCACAGGAACCACAGGGGGGGGGAGGGGGATTACCATGGGGGGGGGAGGGGGGGGGGGGGTGCGCGGATGCTGGCACATATAAACCCTAAACCCCTAGCCCTAAACCCTGAAACTCTAAACCTTAAACTCTATTGACCTTCATGATCCCCTACAGACGTCTTTTCAGCTTCCAGTAAGCCTCGGAGTCGAAATCGTTGGAGGCCGGCTTTTTTCGGTTTTTGGGTTGGGGGTGAGATTCTTCGGCGGAAGCTCAGTTTAAATAATGCGGCGTCCAAAGGCTGCAGGACTCCAGGTGTAAGAAGGTAAGTATGTATGTCTGCAAGTAGGTAGGCAAATATATATATATATATATGTATGTATGTATGCGAGTAGTTCAGTCTGTAGGCTATTATGGGTGTATGGATAGATGCATGTATGTTTGTAAGTTTTTAACAGTGTATGTGTGGACGAGTTTAAGCAAGTAGGTATGACTGTAAGTAAATATGTATGTGTGGATGTATGTATGCATGTATGTATACAGTTGCACGGGACGTACGTAAAATGAATATTATAAGTACATGAAATGTTGTGTATATATGTATTATGTGTGTATGTTCATCTGCAGTCATTTGCTTGTTCGCGGGGGAGTTTCGGGAGCAAGTGTGTGAGAGCGGACTCAAGATTCTCCGCGACTGAAATGAACGCATTTGCAAAGAGTGCGCTGGTGCAGCTAGGATGCCAGAGCTGACACTCAGCAGACACCAGACTCTTAACCTAAACCCTAAACCATGGCAGCTACTGTGGATGAGTACTCTGACATATATGTTCTCGTTCACAGTGTAGGATTTTCGTCCATGAGTTAAATTTCTTCTTCTGCTGAGCTTAGTACTCATAGCCGTACTTATACTATCTGTTTCTCATCCGGAATGATATGCATCATACTGCTGCACTAGTAGTACTACCACTACTACCACTACTTGGTACCACTACTAACTACTACCACTCCCACGACCACTGACCACTGCTACTACTACCACTACGACTACCACTACGACGACGACTACTACCACTACTACCATTACTACCACTACTACTACTGCTACTACTACTACTGCTGCTGCTGCTACTACTACTACTACCACCACTACTACAACTGTTGCTGCTGCCACTGCTACTGCTGCTGCTACTTCTACTGCTACTGCTGCTACTGTGACAACTGCTACTCCTACGGGAGTACTGCTACGACTACTAGGACTAGGACGACGACCACGATTATGTTTGTTATCATATAGATCGACTCATTTGGGTGCGCTGAGTTTGGCCCTGGGCCCTCCGACCGAAATGTCGGAGAATCTCGACTTTTTGCATCGCGTTTCTTGCGCGAGTGGTTGTGTTCGCGGGCTGTCCGAGATATGAGCCTTCATTCCTGAACCCCAAGGCCTGAACCTCGCCAACGTTCCCCATGTACTTGTAGCTACATCAGAACATCATCATACAACCCACCCGAAACACCTACACCCTCAACCTCAACCCTGTGGTTGGAACCCTGCGAAGTCAACCGTCCGCAAGCGCATGGATCCTTTCTGCGGGATGTGGGGCTTAGGGTCTTTAGTATACTTGGATACAGTCTTGCTTTAGGTACCGTATACCCGCGATGCCTGTTCCCTATGCAAAGCCACACGTGTACTCTCCACGTCTGCGTTTAGGCTCCGAATCGCTCTGGCACAGGCTGGCTGAGACTCTACGACAGCACACATCAGTTTTGCGCTTCTACGATTTCATGGCTTCGACAGATTATGTGGAGTTCCCAAAAGATTTATGTTTGGAGGGCATCGCATCTTCGACATGAGCAAAGACCCTGGCAATGGATAGGTCGTTGCAGGCTCAATACCGCCCCCCAACCCACCCCCTCACCGTTCTGTGATATACATACCAGCAGCTCTACTGCTCGATCTTGAAGGCTTACGGCATGAATGCAGTGTCTCAGTTCTGGAGGGCCTGTTATCGCGCTTATCATCCCGAGCTAGTGCATCTGCTTGCTGCCGTGCCACTACAGCTTTTTGTCAGCCTACCCTAGGTTATTCAGGGTTATGTTTCTTGCCCAAATTGTTACCAATGCTGTTCTTGAGGGCTCCTTATTCAGACTTTGCTACTATAGTATATAGTCTACCTGCGAACACTATTCCAATCGTTTCAGGCATTCTGTCTTTAGTTGTGCTGGTGTTTCGAGTTTAGGGCTTACGGTTTCAGGGTGTCATTTGTGCATGTAAACTATAACGATGACAAGATGTCAGAAGATTAGAACAAGCAGTACTGGTAGAATGCCAAGCCTGAGGCGCCACCACATGAACTTCAACAAGCATCAAGCTACTGTAGGCTCCTGCTCACAGCCCCTGAGCAGCGCTAATATCCGGACTCCCAAATCTTGCATCACAGAGTCCCTCACATCTACATGGGTAGTTCTCTAAATCAGGGCCCCTTTCTAGATCCCAACAATAGTACGGCACCATTATCTAGGTGCCCACACGTTGGCCTTTGGATGCCCTTTACCGAGCTCAGTCTCGCTGCCTGTGCCATGATCATCTCACAGCCGTTCTGGGCTGTGTCAAACTGGCGCGTCTCAACTTACCACGGGGTGTCCCCCGCATCTTAAGTCTATACCTCTTAAACGTCGGAACACTCCACTCTGATTTCCCAGCCCGGAACCCCGAAGCAGTGCTACAGCGTAGAACCTAAGCCAACCGCTTCGCCTACGTACCCAGAACTGGTCGAGGAACAGTATTTAATCATGGCTGATTCGACAAGAAGGTATCCGTAAGACGACGGACCCCAGCTTCTTGCCCCCTTGAACCCTGGAGACCCATGAAAAAAGTCACAGAGACCGAGGACAAAACCACGGAGACCGAGGTTTTGGTGGTTCAAGCGGAACTTGAACCCAAGGCCCATACTGAGACGCAGCCATACGGCCCAAAGGCTTGGCCCATCGTCACCCTGCGACAAGAACAGCGGGCTTACCGACTTGAGAAAAACGTTTTTGGGGTATATAAAGGAGCACGCGGAACGAATGATATAGGGTTTACCTCTGACTCCTAGAAGCCCATAAGCCTCAAAGAGTGTAGCGTTCGGATCATATGGTGGAGTTTCGAGCTCCCAGTGCCACGATTAAACCGGTAGGCTACGGTTTGGGGTTCAAGGTTTGTTTGCTGTGGCTTGCTGTCGCCAGGTGGGCAACCGTTTAAGGAGTCGTCTTTTAAGGTACGTGGGATACTT